ATAGCCCTATAATAAAATTTATAAATATTTTTTAAAATAGATATAAGGATAGTAGTAATAACTATAGTTACCTATATAGTTTATATTTTAGGGTTATAATTCCTAAATAATACTTATAGTTTTTAACGTATTCCTAAATATCTCGTTAGATATTTTCCTAGTAAAACTTTTTTTAAATTAGCTCGAGAGTTTTCGTAGCTCTTATATAACTTACTTTATAATTATTATAATATTAATAAAAGATCTCTATTTAAAAAAACTCTACTTAAAAAATAATAAGTTTTTTTTAAAAAAATAGTATACCTTATTTATTAAATAAATATATTTTTAGCTCGCTAATTATAGTATAAACTCTTATTAATTATAATATATAAAACTCGTTTTTAGCTTATAGTTTTTTAATAAGCTCCTTAAGTTTTAATAAGAAACGGGAAACGAATACTATTTTACCCTTTATAAGCTCTTTTATAATAAAACGTAAGATATACTATTTTAATATAATAACCCTAGCTCTATTTAACTCTTTTTTATTTTTATAAAACTATTAATGAGCGTTTATTAATAACTCTCTTATTTTCTTACTTTAAGTTGTTACGGTAATAACTATTACTATTTTATTAATACGCCCTATAATACGTTACTAATATAGGGGAGAAGGTTTTTTATTTTTAAAGCTAGTTAATATTTAGCTAAGATTATAAAGGGAGGCCTTAACTACTTAAATATATACTTTAATAATATTATTTTATCTTTTTAAACTAATTATTTTTTATTAAACGTTAGGTAATAGTTTATTAATAAAACGTAGTTTCTAAGCTAGTATAAAGAGGACGTCTTTATAAAATACTTCCCCCTTTATATAGTCTAGCTTTTTAAATAAACCGTCCGCTAGGTTCGTTTTTTTTAGTTAGTATTTTAAATTAAAGTTAAATATTAATAGTTTATATACTTACTTTACGAGCTTTTTTTTAAAAATCCTGCGCTAGTATACTAATTACTTTTTTAAATACTTAGTAATTTATTAAAATTATAAATTTTTATAAAAGGCCCTAGAAATAATAAGCTTAGTACTCTAGCTTTTTTATTATAATAAGTAGTTTTTATTAGCCCGTAACTTATTACTATTCCGTATTTAAGAGCTTTTATAATTAATAAGTAACGGGTCGCTATTTTTTATTAGCTTATTATAATAAGATTATTATAATAGTTTTAACTAAAGTATCGGTTTTTACTTATATAATACGTTATAAGTTTTAATACGTAAATATAGTTACTAAAATAAAAATAACTTTTAGCTAATTAAACGCCTTATCTATTTTTTTAGTTTATTAGAAATCTTTTATCTACCCCTTTTTTATTTTTAATAATATTATTATCGGTATAATAATACCCGAGTATTTAGTAATAAACTTCCGATAGAAGTTATAAAACCCTAGGAATACTTAGATATTCTTAATAGACTTTAGCGCTTTTTAGTTAGTAATCGTTCGTACTTACAACGAGTTAATCTTAATTCTTTTTAATATAATAATATAACTTAGGAACTCGACCCTTTTTTAATAAAACGAGTATTTTAATAATTTAGTAAAAAGCCTATATAATTATAAACGTCGGAGGACCTTTTTGATATCCTCTATATATTACTCTTTTATTATTAAATAGATTATTAGATCGTTTATATATATTATATAATAAGTATTTAATAAATCGGCGAGCGCTTAGTAAATATATACTTAGAACGTCGTAAGTACGTTTATTAGCCTAAAAAGTATAATAATATATTCGAAATAATTATATTAGCTCTAGAACGCTATTTTTTATTAGTCTTCTTTTTTAATTTAGATATAGTAATAAGTATCCTTAATATTTATTTTTAAAATTTATTTCGCTCTATAAAGCTTATTTAGGAGCTTATTAATAAGTAGTAGTAAGTATTAATTTTTTATAATTATTTTATTTAGCTTATAGTAGTTTATATAAAAGCGTAGCGTACCGTCCTTTTTTAATATAAAAAGGATTAGTACCCCCGCCTTACTAACTAAAAATATAATATAACTATTCGCTAGGTTTTTAATAATATATGTATAAAGCTTATTAAGTTATTTTTTACTTAACGAATAAATAGGACTATATAATAGTTTAGTACTTAAAACTAAGTTAATTAAGTATTTTACCCCGTTATATAGTTACGGTCCTTTTACTAACTACTCGTTAAATATTTCTATTTTTAATTAAAGTTTTAATAATAAACCCTCTTATAGTTTAATCTCTATTACCTTTACGATATTTCTTATAATAGTAATATATAATACGTATATCTTTTTATAATTCTTAATAATATTACGAGCTATTACCTCTAGTTTAGTAACTAAAATAAGTTCGTATAACTATATATTCGTTACTATATTAATATAAATACCCTCTTAGTTTATTAATAATTATAATAATAAGAGGTTTACTATTCTTTTATTTTTATTAATTATAGTAAATAGTTACTAAATCTTCTTTAGTTACTTATAATAGTTAATAAAAAAGAGCGTTAATTAATAAGCTTTTTTTTAACCTACGGCTTTACCCTAAAAATCTTTTAACGAGGGAGCTATAATAATAACCGGGGTTAACCTTAAGTAAGTTACGAGCTTAGTATTAATAATATCTATTTTAGAATATATATTTATATTAATTTTTATTAGCTTTTTAGTAATATTTTATAGAACTATTACCCTACTTTTTATAATTATTTTTATTAATACCTTTTTAATACTTAGCGTAAATATATTAAGTATATTACCTATACTTATTCGTTTTTTAATAAGTCGACCTCTATAACTCTTAGCTTAGTAATAACTTATTAAATAGTTATTAACGTTAGCTTCGATCGGGAGTACGTTAGCTTATTATTGCTCCTATTTCTTAACTTATTCTTTTAATACTTATTAAATATATAGCTTATTTTATTATATATAAAGTACTTAATATTATTATTACGACGTTTTTATAATAGCTTAGTGCGAGTACTTTTATTATATAGTTTTTATAATATTATTCTTAGTAAGTCCTTAAAACCTAGCCCCTTAGAGCTCTCCCTACTCTTTTTTTTATAAAAAGGAAATATTTAATATAGTTATTTTAATAATAAATATAGCCTTTTTTTACTATCTTTTTATAACTAGTCGCTACCCTTTTACTAATTTAATAATTATAATTTATTAGCCTCGTAAGCTATATTACGTACTCTTTTAATTAAGACCTTATAATAAATTAAATCGTCCTATAACTAAAATAGTAGTTTAAAAAAGAACTAATATACCTCTATTTTTAAATTCTTTATATTTTTTATACTTAGGTTATAATAAATTACTAACTACTTAGCGAAGAACTAAGTAAGGGTCTAGCCCTCTTTTAACTTTTTTATCCTTAGCTCTTTATAATATTCCCGTTTTTAAATCTCGGGGTTTATGTATTATTAGTGAATAAATACTAAGAAATTACCTTAGGAGAGGGAATTTTAAAAGCTCTTTTTGTAATTACGCTATTATATTTATAATAATAAGGATATTTTAAATAGGGCCTATTTAATATATTATTCTATAGTACTTTTTATATAAAGCTTATTACTTATTTTTATAATAATAATCTAATTTACTATTTAAGTACTTATAAACTCTTTTTTAATTAGTTTATAGTTATTAAAAAAAGGCTTTTTATATTCTTATCGATTTAGATATATTACTAGCTACTTAGTAAGCTATTAAACGAGCTCCTTATATTAATACCGTTCTTAGTTTTAATCTTTAACTATTATTTTTATTATTTTATAAAAATAAGTTATTATTAAGCTTATAAGGTCTATTAAACTAGCTATTTTAGTACTATTTATACTTTTATACGCGCCTTAACTTCGTATATTTAGTAATTGGTTATTAATAAACGCCCCGTTTATAATAAATAAGGTCCTTAGGGTATTAATAAAGTAATTAGCCTATAAGGGTAATTTACCCTAATTATTTTCTTTATCTAGCTCTTTTATAAATATTAGTATTTAAATAGGACTCGCCCTATAATAAGCTCGTTCCCTCGAATAGAATAAAGTTAAATAATTAACTCTAAATAGCTATAGCTCGTTAGTACTAATAGCTTTTTATTAATAGCTAGGTATTATTTTATTAACGTTCCGTTCGTTTTTATAATTTATTATTATTTATACTAATTACTTTATATAAGTATAAGTTTTAGAATTGTAAAAAATTAGGCTATAAATACTTAATTAGCGAGGCTATAATATAAGTATAAGTATATTATAAAACTAAAGCTTATAAAGTTTTTTATAAGGGCTCTGCTTTTTAAAAAGTTTTTTTATAATACGGACCGTATATTAGTTACTAAGTTATCGACGTCCTATTACCGGCCGTATCCTAAATCTATTATAATAACATAGTATAATATTAGTATTTATATAGGAATTATTAGTAAGTACTAATATTTAGAAGCATATTTTAAATCTAATATTACTATATAATATAATATAAAATAACTTTTTTTAAATATTTTTCTATACTAATTATACTTTTTTTTAGCTTACGTATTTTTTAAAATATTTATTTTTTAATTATTTATATATATATGGAATAGCGGTTTTGGCTGAATCTGGCTGAATTGGGTGATCTGTCGTAGGGGGTGATCCGTCGTGTGGGGTGGAGTCTTACCAATTGGACGAGTATGTACGGACCGTCCGCACAGAGTTAGGTAATCTGGACCCTGCGCCGACGGAACCCCGCCGTTTTGTTGTGCCCCGCCATCCCACCTCACCTCACCTCACCTCAGTCAATCTCATTGCGCCTGGACATTCGAAAGCTCAAACACTCGCAGAGCTCGCCAAGTTTGTTTACCAACGTCGTGTCGTTCAACGTTCCATCCTCTTCAACAACAAGAACGCCTTGAATACGCAGAAATCAAGATCTACCAACAACATCGAGGAAAGAAGGAAAGGTGATAGAGTTATGGAAGTCAAGAATCCGCGCCGGGTGTTGGCGGTCTCGCTTGCGGACTCGACGCAGCATTTGAGTAGAGTCATTAAAGGTTGGCGAAAACGGCACTTTCTATTTTTCTCCTGTTTGTTTACATGAGCCTTGGCATCTGGCTATTGCATCCTCAAACAGGAGCTCTTGACCTCATGTATCTCATGCTCATGAGATGAAAGGGGAATGAAGCCCGCATCACATGCGAAACTACGCAACGGCATCCTCATGATCTCACCGCAACTCGTCACATTGCAAACTTTCCGCGCACTCTCACTAGATGCCAACACTTTGTGGAAGAGTATCGTACTAACGCGGGAAGGGTAGACCTCACGGGCACCCACCCAGAACCGGCATCCACAACCCTCGCGGGCACAACGCACATCCTCCCCATCAAGACGAGCTACTACACCGCCGACGTGCCCATCTGGCTGGACCTCGTCGACTCCCCGGCCGAGTGGTCCGCCTCCTTTCTCTCGCCCGAGGCCAAGGAGGTCCTCACCGTGCTGGGCGGGCTGGCTGTTGTTTTTGCGCTGCCTTCTTCTCCTTCATCATCGTCTTCGACATCAGCCCCGTTACCGGAAGACGGTACCACCCCTGCGCCGGTATCAGTAACAGCACCGGCAACGACCCCCCAGCCCTCGCCAGAGGACACCCGCGCGCTCATCACCGAGGTCGGGAGGGTCGTTCGCGAAGGGCTCGGCGGGTGGGGATGGGACGGCGTCGGGTTGGGCATCGGCGTCGGGGATGGGACGGCGGACGAGTGGGAGGATCTCTGCGCTGAGTGGGGACTCGAGTTTGTGCAGGTTCGTGGGGGTAAGAAGGATGATGGCCGGAACGAGTTTGGAGGTTCGTCACATCCCCTTTCTTGTCTCTTCTTTTCCGTTCCTGCTTTTGGCTCTCTCTCTTGCTTCGGATCATTCAGTCTGCGGTTCATACCCCTGAGCCGTGCTTCAACACTTGAGGGCCGTTTTGGGAGGAAGGGGTCATGGGAGAGTAGAGCACCTTTGTCCCGGAACCTACCCCTATTCGGCACAACATAAAAGGTCCGTCCATGCTGACATCCCTTTGCCAGAGAAAATGGGCATAGCAAGAGTCCTCGAAGCCCTCGAATCCAACGACTGGGACGCCGCAGACGACATGGACGGCCCATCAGACCTCGATTCGGACCTCGACACCGCCGCCGGTGATTTACCCAGGAAACCCAGACCTCTAGCAGGCGGCACCGGCAACGACGACGACGGCGACGACAACGACGATTTCGACCTCGACGACCCAGAGAACCTGGATTTCGGCTTCGACAGAGCGGATTTCGAAGGGCTGAAGAAGGCGATTTGGAACCTCGAGCAGGAGCCGGAGGATGAGGATGAAGTAGTAGAAGGGGGAGCAGCGGACACGGCAAAAGCAGCGAGTGGAAGCGCGGGAGGCGCTGCTACCGCCGAGAAACCGGACTCGGCGAAGACGACGCAAGAGAAGAAGGTCGAGGACGCTGAAATAGAGGACCTGGACGCCGAGGACGTGGAAAAGATTGAGCAGATGATGCGCAAGCTGCAGGCTGTCCGGGACCTCAGCGCGGGGCTGCCCGAGGACCAGAGGCGGAGGATGGCGAAGAAGGCCGTTGGGGAGGTGATGAAGGAGCTTTGAAAGGGGGGCCGTAGACGAATGCGCTCCTGGCTCCTCTGATCTGGTCTGGTTTTGGGGGTTGGGCCGTTGATGTTTGGTCAGTCGTGTAATCATGTCAGCTGCGCAGGCTGCATGTGTCACTGGGAGGAAGACACAAAAGGAAGCAACTCTGAGATGGAAGCGGGATTGGAGGAAATAGCTCGCTGATCGGTTGCTCTGGGAAGAGTTTTTCCCATCGCGAGCAGTTTGGAGGACCAATGGTCTGTCGGTCTGTTTCCCTTGAACAGGAACAGTGACGGAAAAGAAGACAAAAGAACTAGCTGGAACTTTGGACACCCCGAGTCCCGTCTCCCAGAAATCTCGTCGACAGAAACTTTGCACTTGGGGTGGTCTAGGAACCAAGGTCACGGTTCTTGTGTACTATGCAGACGAGAGAGAGAGAGAGAGAAAGAGAGACCCTCGGATTGGAAGTCAAAGGCAGCAGTGTCAACCTTCAAACCAGAGCTATCTGCTCCCGCCATTACTTGAGAGAGTGGGAAAGGTGGCGTAACGGTATAGATACCCAGGCATGTCAGGTCTGAATAGCACAGAGAAAAGTAAAAAAAAAAAAAAAAAAGGTCGAGAAAAATCGATCTCGTCTTCCATATGGAGCAGGAGTATTCGACTTTGGAGGACTCCTTTCCCCTAGTGATGCCTCACCACCTATAAGGCCGTAAGCCCAGCCTCTCATAACCCAGACTGTCTACCTCAAGGTTCTGTAGATAATGCGCTGATGATTCCGATGTTTAGTCAGTCATGATGATCCTTTGGTCCATGCAACTGAGCAGATAGTATAGCTGAAGCAGTGTGACAGGCGCAGGAGGCCATTCGGCTAGGTACTAACATGCAAAGCGATTGGCGTCAGAGTCGACCACTCACAACGCAGTATGAAGATGTCACAAAGGCAATCGTAGTCCCTCCCATCTTCTTAAATCCCAGATAGGCTTATTGATCCATAGGGCGACACAAGTCGGCCCATATATGAATACGGCATCAGCTCTACACAACCCGAGAGGCTCGATATACAGCCAACGATATGTTCCGTCTGCACTCCCCGACTGTCACCAAATCCACTCAAATTTCTCCCTGTCGTGGGGCCTTGCAACGTCCATCTTCAACCAACTAGCGAAGAGCCTGTCTGGAGGCATTCGTCGTGGTATTAAGCCGTAGCCCGTGAAGTTGCAAGTGACCATGCTGAAAACATTACGGAGCAACAACGAACGTCAGCCATTGCGTCCAAAAGGGGCACCACATAGGGGTAAAGTCTCCAGAAACGTGGCTTTCTGCCGATCTCCCGTGAGCAGACAAAGTGAAGGCTATCCAGAAGACGTAGATCCTGGGATTTTCTAGCAAAATGCTGCCCCGGCTGTGTATGCTCAAGTTGGCATATTCCATGAATCACCAGGCCTCTCCTATTCCTTCCAGTCTTCGACACGCCGCGTGGCATGCATAGAGTGATGCTTCTTAGTGCGAAAACGGTCCCATTTCAATATCTTGCGCAAGCTGACCCGTTTTGGGCCAGGGAAATCCGGGGGCGTGGTTAAGCAGACATATAGGTTTGCTTTAGACGGCTTGGAAATATAAAGTGAACCCACTCGAATTGAGCAGTTCGGACGGCGGGCGAACGAAGCAGGGAATCCATTAGTATCATGCGGCAAGGCTAGTTAGTGTACCCAGTCAGTCCATAGTGCCAAAGGTCGTTCGTCACTTGGGTTATGCTTCGGGGACGCTCCGCGCTTGAGTTTACCTATACCGAGTCATGAAAAAGAAGCCCTCGGTAGGTCTTGTCAATCGCCGAGAAGCTGGATCAACCCGGGAGAATAGATTGATCCGAGCAATTCGACGGTCAAGTCCCGTCTCGGGGTCAAGCAGGTGTCAGCGGGATGCCGGCCAGGGGACCCGTCTCGGTGAGGGCCGGGGAGAACATCAGACGAACGCTAGCGTCGATCCTCTTGCAAGCCCTTGTGCGATCTCGTACAGATGCACGACGTCGACGTCGCAGACAGACGACGAGCAGGGACAAGTCCGGCACAGCCTCTCCATATGGCCCACACTTTGGTTCATGCCGACGTGGTTCCCCTCCTCACTCCTGTCCCCTCTAGAGGCCCGAGCACGCAGGTCTTTGTAGCAATAGAATGTTCTGCCGCGCATCGCCAAACAATGCGGCGGAGCAGCGTGAGCGTGCTGGAGACTGGCGTCGCATGACTGGTGGTCTTTTTTCTTTCCTTCACGAATCCTCCCTCCTCTGCCGGCGGGGAAGCTAGGCTCAATCGGAAATTTCTCAGCGATGCCTGTAATGCTTGTCGAGGAAGCGATAACCTGCTAAGTTTCAGCAAACTCGATTGGGAATGCTTGGCCCGGTATCACGGTAGTTTTGGGTACCCTGCTGCGCTGTTGGGGGCTTTGCTAGACGCTGTGTTCGTGATCGTTGGTAACCTGTAGTCGATTGCATGCCAGTATAGAGGGCATTTCGTACAGGTAGGCTGTAGCCAAGTCGATTGAGGAGAATGAATAATCGTCCGAGCTTAGTGGTGCGATGCTGTGGGATCTCGAGTTCTGCCTTACAGTCGCTAGTGTCTATCTGGATCGTTGCACAGTATCTCTCATGTAATGGGAAGTAAACAATCGTAAAATGCGCAGTGGACATGCACCATCTTGCACACGAGGCTTCAAAACATTGCAATTGGAGTAAGCAATGGCAACGCGTCAAGGCGCGTTTCTCGATGTGTTGTCGCAGCGTCGCGATGATCATTCATGCCTCGGCGGAGCCCCAGCTTTGGCAACCTGCCCATTGGTCAACTTTCGCGGAGTGATTATGCTCCGTCAGTGGTGGACATGGAGCTGAATGCAGTTGCGAGCGACACGAAGGCTCTGGGCCTTCGGACGTAGCTACGGAAGTAGAACCAGACTTTTGGGACGGTATCGATGGCAACTGACAGTTTGACAGCCATGAGCGTTTCGCGGTGTGGAAACAAAGGAACGACAAAGACTTTGAAGCACGCCATTGTCAAGCCAAGCAAAATTAGCCAACTATCGACAACACGGGCTTGATAAAGACTGTAGCCTTTTCGGTAGCCGCGGATGGTCGGCTGACGGGATTTCCGGAGCAGCAGATCTGATATATGGACCCTGTATCCGTAAAGCGTCACACGCTCTCGTGTTGCCTGGCTGTCAGTAGCCGATTTCCATGCCACCGTTTGATTCTGTGGGTTGGTGCCACCGACTTTGCGGCGGAAATGTCAGCGATACATCTCGCCTATTCCTCGCCTTGTCTACCTCTTGCGGCAATCTTGCGTATTATCCATAAAGGGTCCAGCAGCAAGAGCCGGTCTCTCAAGGGCTCCCGGCAAGCGAGGATTAACTCTGCAGGGCTCGAGATAGGGGGAGGGGCAAAGCCAAGGGAGTTGGCCAGGGATTTCGGGCTCGCAATGTTCGACGATTCTTCTGGAACGAATTCGCCAGGCTGTGAGATTGGGGTCCCCGTCCGGCGTCCGGTGATGCTAGCAGCGATGAACCCCAGACGGGCAGATTCTTTGAAGCAATGGGCAGCCCATACCGGCGACCGCGAAATCCGGACACATGCGGCGGCGGGCTGGCAACTCAAGAGGGCGATGGATGAATTCCACAGTCAGAATTGGCCCCGCCGTACTTGCGGACGACCGTCGTCGGCTTCGGTGGCTGAGTCAGTAACAGAAGTGTTTAGATTGTTTGAATCCGAGGCCAACGGCGAGTGGGCATCCAAAACGACGATCTCCCACCAACAACGCACGGAACTATGCGACGGTCGGTCGTCAATGGTCACGGCTAGACTTCCTGCTCCGTTCTCCCTTATGCGGCGAAAAAAGATAATTATCTGTATTCCGTACAGATATTCCCCCCAGGGTTCTTGGTTGACGTTTCGCGGAGGAAGCACGCTGCACAACGGCCGCGCTCCGACAGGGCTCTTGTCTGACAGTTGTTGTTGAACGGGGCCGGAGGCGGACCGGGGGCTAGGACTGGAGACACGAGCCAGAAGCGGGAAGAGAAAAGATCAGACGAAAAAGGCACGACGTATCCGCAGAATGAGGGCCCATGGGGCCAGAGAGGCGTGGAAGGCAGGGGGAACCTCAACGAAGGTCCTCTCTCAGACTCTCACCCCTCCCTTTCTCTTCCTCCAGGCTCTATGTCTGGTGATTCTGCCCTGGTTCCATGAGGGAGTCTTAAGCCCTGAGCCTTGAGATGCTGCGGTAGTGGCTCTCTTTCTAACCCGACAAGGAAATCCATCGACGATCTTTCGCCTGACCGAATTCGGCCAAGTTTCAAGCATAATGTCCAATGAGAGTGATTTGACTTTGACAGATCCCTGTTGTTCTTCTCGAGGCTGGTTGGCTGAGCCGCAGCGTCCCTGAGAAAGTTGCGAGGTACCAACATCAACGCTCAGGGGTAAAAGCGGATCCTGCTGAAGACAACTTGGAGCCCTGACACCGACTAGTTCTCAGGGACAGTCTTCCGCATTCCTTAACACTGTGATGACCTTCTCACACTTCGCGCACCCCTTCAACAAGACCGATTCTGGAAAACGGAGCCGAACCGTCATGCATCACCGACCCAATGCCGTCCCCTATCCGTTGCTCCACGACTTTGCTTCGGCGCTGACAGCGGACTTGTCTCGTTTGAGCAAAGAAGCCTGTGGACTCTCGAGTGCGGTCTCCCTCGTTTCCATGCAGGATGAAGTCAAACTCTATGCTTCGTCGTTCGGAACACTTGAAACGAAGCTACTTGGTTGGTTAGAGAACAACAGCATACTAACAAGACCCTCGTCAACCTTCGGGGCTTTCTTCTTTGGAGGACCACCTGGCCGGGATGAGGCGCGCCAATGCCATGAATGCAAGTGCAAGTGCAAAGGCAAATGCAGACATGGAGGTGTTATTTGACCTTGAACTTTGGACGAGCGGAGGATCCCATTGCTATTTCGGGCTTCCTGATGGTGTATGGTAGATTTGTAGCCGCCTTCACGGAGTCCGTCTGTCTTAGTGATACGCCGACGCGTGCGCGAGCATGGGACATTCCGATCGCTTGAGCTCCATTCGACGGCGCCACGCCTTCGAGGAACGATGCCGGCGGCAGCGAGCGCCAATGAGCGCTTGGGCGGAACATTTCGTCTGAAGTTTTTGTCATCTGACATTGGCAGAGCATGTCCAATGTCACCGGTTGTGATCAGACCGGGACGTCTGAGCATATTAAGAGTCAAAGCTCCGGCAGTCGCGCAACCGCAATCCATCTGCCAGCTGCTCTGTGGCCGAACTTCGTGGATGTGCTTCTCCCGAATGTAGAATATTCGTCCTCCGTCGCTGGCCGATGGAGCTCCTCCACCAATGTCGAATGGGTCACCGTAGGACGGCCGGATGGCTTGGAGCTTGAAGGTAGCTGGCCGGATGATCAAAGACAGTTAGCGCTGCGTTACAGTGTCTTCGGCGCATGTGGCACTTGGGCCATGGGATGGGTGTTCTGGCTGCATAACGCTTCTGCAGGTACGAGGTAACACAGGTTGCGTCTCCCAAAAACCAAGGCCGAAGCCGAAGGCTCCTGGAAAGCCGACGAGAGTATGTCGCTGCCTTTGGTCTAGCAACAGAGGGAGGATCGATGCGAATTCCAAGACCGTTTCGAGCTCGAACGTGAGGACAGCGAAACAAGACCAGTCATGGGCGTTGTGTTGGATAGCATTGGTTCGTTAGATGTATACTGGAACGCTCAAAGTGTGTAAAAAGACCCTCCGTCGTGCAAAGCGATCTTTGTGATGCCCTAGTGTCTTGTCTGAGACATCCCTTTGGTTCCCGGCACTCCCACAGGAATGGCCAGGCGATCGCCCCGACGCGTTGTTTTTAGAGGTACGACGTTTCGATGTCTGTTGCAGACGCGAGACAGGGCCAAAGGGAGACGCTGAGCATGGAGCAAACATAGTTCACCTCAGACTTTTGCGCAACGATTCGTGGCGGCACCATCCCTCGGTATGACGGCCGAAGAGGTTGGGTGGTATGTAGTTGGGCGGGTTGAACCTCAGCTCAGCATGGGGAGGCCCCTTTCTCGACATGTCATTTGTGGAAGTTGACGCCTGCTTACTCAGTGGTTCCAGAAGGCAACCGACGTATCTTGAGTTATGGGTGGAGGCTCTCTGGAACTGGCTTGGTCTTGATGGTCCGAGAAAGGGGACGACCTCTGGAGGCGCAAACCCCGTGCCGTTGGCGTCCCCGGCGGGATGGCCTCGAAATGACAAGAATCTCCCCAAGAGCATCGACCATGTCATAAAAGCCATCACCCCCATCGCTCGAATGAAGAACCGAGCGGGCGCAAAGGTGACGTGGAGATGGGCGTCGAGATCTGCCCCGCGGATAAGTGGACGGTCGGGGCTCCCTCGGGCGAGCAGTTTGGCGGCCAAGAGAATTGCGTAGTTCCAAGAGCCGTGAACCGTCTGCCTGGGTGTGCATAGTGGGCACGCCGCTCGGGAAAGCCTGTGCTGTGACCAGTAATGAGTAAATATCCAGCTGGTCCGAGCCTATCTTGTTTAAACAGTCTTTTGAACGTTGGTCCCGGCCTAAGCCGTCAGCCAGATATTTCGTGATTGGAAAGTGCTAGGTAGGTCCAGTAAAAGAGGCTTTGCACTCTGACTGAATCATTGGTTTTCTTGTGCTGAATCAGTCGAACTCAGTATGGCGGTCTTGACTAGGAAGACCTTGTCAGCCCTCGGCGATAGGCGCTAGCGCAAGGCGTACGGGTCAAAGTGAGGTTCAAAGTATGTAGTCTTGTCTCCAGCTTGAATTCGTGATGGACCCATTCCGAGCTGGAGGCTCACAAAGCCGGGACGGCGGCGTCTGAGCGGACTCTTGACCGCCAGTCGCATACTACCGGCTGCAGAAGTCTGTGGATCAGCTATCGTCTGGCAGGTGTCTCTGTGCTGCGTGACTGTTGCGCAGAGCGGCAGGCGTCACCATATCAAGCGAGAGCGACCCTTTTTTTGCCACGGATCATTCTTGTTTAGAAGATGGAGAACGGAGCCTTGCAGATCCAAGCCTGAGGACGGAAGCTGAGGACGAACGGTGTGTGTGTATGGGCAGAACAGCAACCTGGCACCGCATGCAGCATATGTGAGGTCAGGCGGCGCAACGATCCACGACAGAAGCTGCCTAGATCGATGACTGCATGCCCTGGACAATGATTGATGGCCGTCGATTCGATTCGACGAAACCTTGTGTGCTATTTCGAGAGGTGCCTGGTTGCCATGGCGGGTTTGTATGGTTTCGTTTGGAGTCGTCTGTGACACAGCTTGTCAGGATGCAGTCGACAACATCTGGCGGATCATTGTGTACCTGACACGGCTTGTGTGAGGAGGGCGCGTCTTGGGGGCGAGGGGAAAGCGTGAATGTCGGGCGAGGAGGGCGAGGAGGGGGAGCATGGATCGCCAGGAACAGGGACAATACCGGACGAAAGAGACGTCAGGTACGACACAGTGTGGGAGGAAATAGTCGAAGACGAGCCAGCGATGTGACGCTGGAATATGTGGCTTGTCCCAGTTGCGAGTGGTGCATTGTGAATGCAGTGCAGCAGTGCAGCAGTGTAGTGTAGTGCAGTGATGCCAACCGCGATCGACCGGCGCCAGCAAAAGACGCCCTCGACCTGCAGTATGATGCAGGTTGACAGGACCATGTTGAAAGTTCACGCTGCAACCGCATGGAGACCTGACTTGGAGACTTGGAGCGAGAGAGAAAGAGGGTGGATGGAAATCAACCTGAGGTTCCAATCGGGAAAAGACTGGATGAACGACGTGAGCAGGGGTCAGGGAGCGACGTTTCTAAGGTGGGACATAGGTATCCAGCGTACCTTCCTCCGTTCGGGTACCTTACAGCTAGTGGCTCTTTCCTTAGGTTTGGTGCAAGTGCGACTGGCAAGTGCAACGGAAGGCGGAGAAGCCGCGCACTGTGAACAAACCGTTGCGGGTCTTTCTTACCTTAGGTAGTTGAGGGGCTCGAAGTATTCGTCAGAGAACCTAAGCATCCCTGCCACCGTCTCGCGGACGTAAGACTGACGGGACAGTTTGGGCCGACTAGGCCTGCCGTTTTGCCCGCACATGACGAGTCTGGTTCTGGGTACACAGTAGGATGGATATCTTGGCTCCAGGAACGTTGTCTAAGCTCACCAAGGTGGTGGGCGATCCCTGGTAACTCGACATGGGAAGATAGACAGCCCAGAAGGGCAAACGGATGGAAAATGCGGGAAGGGATGGAGTAGGAGGGACGCGACAGATTGGCGGGATAAGGTGTCATGATAATGCATAACAAAACACATTATAGCACCCTCCCCTACCCGTGCCTGGATGTCGGGACGAGATAACGGCTGGGATTCGGGGACTTTAGACTTTGGATGATTTTGACGTCGGAGGATTGGAGGATGTCTGGCTGGACTGGTTGGTCTTGATTCTCGAACAACCAAAGAGCCAGCATCCGTATCGCTATCCGTAACACAAGGTGCGGATGTCTGTGAGAATTCAGAGGGGGAACGGATACATAGGTAGGTACGGAAACAAGCCCCTGTCCAAACAGCACCGATAAGACGGTCGTGGCTTTGCGGCTGCGAGACTTCCAGGTTTGGCGTTGTTTGGTACGGAATATGGAGTGCGGCTGCATCTTTCGCATGACAACAGCCCCGAACCGAGTGATTCAAAAACAAGATGTCCGCTGACTCCGCTCGGAGTTGTTCGTGTCGTCTACGTACGATTCCGTCCATTGCAAGTTTAGAACACAAATTCCACTTCTCTTTGTTCTCTGGGCCAAGATATGTTTCCATTCGTTCCTTGCATCCCCTTTTTCGAGCTGCCGTCCGACGTGTCTGCTGATGGATGTCTGCATTATGGATTCAAAGTACCTACCTTGTCAGTTACCCCTGTGCCTGAGGACCGGACCAAAAAGATGGACCCCGCCCATGCATCTGTGCTTCACTGCTTGCTCCGTTCCGGGCCCACACAGTCTCATCAGCCACAGTCACAGCCAGACGTGTACGTACCTGCCCATGCACAATATGGAGTACGTACTCCATAGACGTGGACTTTCCTTTCCAAGTCATGCTTGACGGGAACCTCCTTGGACCTTCCGTTCATCGTCCCACCGTCCGGCTCTTATGCCTCCCTTTCCCGGCAGAATGCCAGAATCGACAGGACCAAGCCTCGAGGCCGAGCCTTCCAGGGCGATCAACAACGGAGCGAGGATGCGGGCGGTGGAGGTTGACCACTGACAGCCAGACAGCGTGAGCCTTGAGGGAGATCCGCACTCGCCTCCACAGATGTTGATGTAGCGCGCATCAGACACCGGCCGCGAATTTCTCTTACGGCCCCCAAAAAGGATGGAGACTCTTTCGTCCGTCTCCCCTCACTTACCGCGCAAGGTACGGCCATTTTGGCGGAAAGCGCGACACATTCTGCGAGTATCTTGCTCTGCTTCAGTCCCCGGCCGTGGCTCATGCTTCGCGACCCACGGCGTCTGGCGTTGCGTTGGACGAGAGTCACAAGACGGTGAGGACGAAAAGGATAGGCGACACTATTTGTACCGAGTACCCATAGCGGGCAGCGATCTAGAGACTGGGCCGGATGATGCGCGCCCTCACCCGTTACCTCATGCTTATGCGGCATCTTTCGAGCCGCAAAACACGTGGTAGTGCCTGTCTACCTACAGAGGAGACGGATACTCTTTAGTTGATACTAGCCACGATGGTAGCCTGGCATCGGACACGAGGTAGGAAAGGATGGACGATTTTTGATAATCAGAGCCTGAGGATGTGTTCGTGTAAGTACTGCGTACTGCGTAGGCATGATGCTGAGTGTCTATCGGCGTCCAGGTGGTGGACGGATGCCGCGCGATTCGATTCAATGCGTCCATCGGGCGCGACGCCGCGAAGCCAACAATAGAGAGCGAGAGGTACTCTGGCACTTGCCGGTCTCCCTTTTGGCCTCCCGCTTGCTGGGATAGGCCTCCCTTTTGTCGTGTTTGGTCTCTCCTCGGCCGCTGCATGTTTCTGCTCCCCCACCTTTCCCTCAATGGCCACTGGGCACAAGAAAGCAGTCCAGCATCAACAGGGCAAGGAACTGCAGCAACGAGCAGGGCCATGATCCATGGCGGGTGCGATGGTGCACCTCCTATCAGCAGCCCCGATGGACCAACGGCGGCGCGCGGCGTTGCGGCGGTGTGTAGTCATTCTGGTGTGGGAGAGCGGAGAGGGAACGAGACTGGTCTGGCTGGTTTGGCTGGTCTGGATCTGGATTGGGGGATACGGATGCATGATGTGAGGCGCAGGACGCAGGAACCGGTCAACAACGCATACTCGCATGCACGCACAAGGTGCACAATTATCAGGGTGAAGACGCCCACGCAGAGCGGAGTACGAATAGAAGCAAGATGGGCGAGCAGTCTACGAGAGACGGGAAGGATGGAGGAGGCTAAGAGCAGCTATGCAGGAGAAGGAGAGGAAGAGACAAAGTGGAAGCGAGAGAGAAGGTCAGAAAAGGCTAAACGGGGGGAAGAAGCCGCTAAAGCCACTTGAGGCAAGGTTTACCAGCTTGGGACAGGTTCCGTTCATCGGCGGCAGGTACGAACGGTAAAGTGGCTTTTGTCGACAAATGAGAGAAGGCGCGTACCTGGCACTACCCCTGTGCACCCAGTCATTGTACACTAGCCACTGGCCGCTGGTTGCTGGTGGTGTCGCCCATACGTCCAGCCCCGGTCCTCGTCTTCGTCCCCCGCCAACGTCCGTCGTCCAGACTTCAAGTGTCCACATCCACGTTCAGTCCGCCGCGTCCACCAGTCTGGGTGTGTCAATTATCTATCTGGCTTCCACAGTTTTTTTTTCTCCTGGCGTGTCTGCCCCATCTACAGTTCCACACCCATTCGTGGACACTGAACACTGCACCTGCCGTCGAGGAGAGAACGGGACGTGGTCGGGAAAGAGCAAGAGCAAGAGCTGCCCCAAACCCTACTTACCAAAAGGGGCGGAGGAAAGAGGCTACAGGAGCACTTTACCACAAGGAAGGTACATTCGCATGATGCGACCTACCTATTCCTAGGGCTAAAGCACACGTTTTCTACAAAAGTATCAGACGGGACTCAACCTCAGTCTCTTCGCTTCCGTACGGAAGAAGGTACATACTGCGTAAGGTATGGACTCATGGAACCTATGGACCGTTTCTAACTGGTGCCTTTTCACACCAACAGTCCCATCCATCCATCCCCATCCTATGCCCTTGCCCATGACCATCCCGCAGACCGCACACACCACTGGCTGCTGAGCCGCCGCTGCACACCTCACGTCCCACGTCCCACGTCCGGTCTTTCCTCCCCCCTGTCATCCAAAGCTCCACTTTTCCACACCTCACCCCAACTCGACTCGCCTCACACCCTCGTCCCACGCCCGCCCGCAACCCACACGCCTCACTCCTCTCCCGACCCTGGGGCAGTCCATCCAGACCAGACCTCTTCCCAGCGAGTAGCCCTAAGTAGACAGCACCTCAGGTATTCGTAGTGAGAGAGAAAGTACCCAAGGCGTGTCTACAGGCGCAACAAAGTAGGTGAGCAGCAAAAAGGGAACTCCTGGAACTAAGGCGAGTCCATGGGGAAAGGTACCTTGCCTTACACGTAGAGGGGAGCAGGAGGGGACAGGCACCTCACACCTACCTACTACGGTATCAGGCCAAAGTTTAACCCCCTTGTCAGGTATCTTCGCCCATGCTTCTCGCGATTATATCAGCAGCATTACTTTCGAGATTCTTGTGCACGTCGAACAGAAATTTGGCCATTGAGAGTCACTGCTTTGCCCTGGTCAGACCCACACTACCTGGTAGGGAGTTTAAACATACCCATAAGGACCAAGTAGGAACAGGGTGGATTGGCGCCGGTTCCTTCGTTCGTTCGTTCGTCTGTTCTGTTCCCTTTTTTTTTTTTACTGGGGCCCGCCGCCTCGCGCCCATCCATTCCTTTTCCTTTTTCTCCTCTCTTGCCCCCATCCCTCCTGGTGTCCTTCCTCATCCCATCTCCTCATCGTCATCCTCGTCGTTCACGACAATCCCTTCCCTCCTATTCCTCTTCCCCCACTCCTTTTTTTTCCTTTTCACAGTCACTCTCTTGAAATAATTCAACCATCTCAGCTTCTGAATCCCGTCACTCCTTTCCGGGCATTCTTATTACGTTCCTTCCCGTCTGGTTGAACTACACACATTCGTTCTTCGCGAACCAAACGACACTATTCACACAAAAATCTCACCTCCTGTTCCCCCTGTTGGATCAGAGACCACGCTCCTTAGCATCTTTTGCCTCACAGCTCATTCTATACCTTCCCTTAGCTTTCACAGCACCATACCTATTACCATCCAATTACACCTAGTACCGCATCTGCGCGTTTCCGTGAATCAAACGATCCTCGACATCCCGATCACCTGCTGGACGCGACTAATACCGAGACTCCCTCACCTCGAGAACATCCGCCCACCCTGATCTGATCAACCACATCGCACCACATCACAAGCGATACACCTCACCGACTTCATTCTAACTGAACGAAGGAATTTCGAGCAGGAAAAAAAAAGAAAAAGACATGGCTACCGAGGTCGAACACCCCGTGGGCCTCGTCCAGCAAGTCTCGACACCCGGCTCATCAACCCCTCAAGATGTCTCTCCCACATCCGCCCACAAGATGGACCAGACTCCCTCCCCCTCCACCTCCACCCACAATGGACAGCCTCCCTCTTCGCAATCAAGGCGCCCGCCGCGCAAGAGCACCCTGACCCAACAGCAAAAGAACCAGAAGAGACAGCGCGCCACTCAGGACCAGTTGACGACTCTGGAGGTGGAATTCAACAAGAACCCAACCCCCACTGCCACCGTTCGTGAGCGGATAGCAGAAGAGATCAACATGACCGAAAGGTCTGTTCAGATCTGGTTCCAGAACAGGTACGCTTTCTACTGCTCCTCGTTTTCCGGCTTTGCAGCCTGATACCCCTGAGTCACCACTAATACTACACAGACGCGCCAAGATCAAGCTTTTGGCCAAGAAGAGCCTCGAGACCGGCGAAGACATCGATTCGATCCCCGAATCCATGCGAGCCTACCTCGCTATGCAGGCGATGGAGTCCGGCAAGGGCCTCGGCGGCCCCTTCCTTGGCCGTACAGGTCTTCTCCCCTACGGCCACAACAACATGCTTCTCGGCGGTGACCAGAACGGCCAGGGCAAAGTTTGTAAGTCCAAGAAGTCCCTGACAAACCATCGATGAAAGCAGCATTAACATTCCCAGTGATCCATCATCTCACCTGCCGCTCTCTGAGCATCGGCAAGTGGACTCGCGTGGGACAGAACACGATGGATCTCATCATCTTCTACTCCCCTGACAAGTGCACCATGACCTACTACATCAACAACGAGCAGGCCGGCTACAAGATCGAGTACCCCTTTGCTTACATCAAGAATATCTTCCTTGAGAACCAGGAGGGTGACCCCAACAAGCCTGGTGGCATCGTCATCGAGCTGAACCGGGCTCCCAACTTCTTCATGGACTCCTCCCCTCAAGCCAGCGGGTTCTTCCAGTGTGGCGACTTCACCGAGGACCAGCAGGCCTCGCACTGCTTGGTTCACCACCTCGGTGGCAACCCCAAGGTTCTCAGCGGCCAGTTGGCCAAGCTTGTCTCCTTGGAGGCCTTCATGAACCGCAACAACCCGCACCCCTTCATCGACCAGCAGCACGCCCTGTCCATGTCCGCTCCTGTGTCGCCCAGCCGCCCTTCTTCTCAGCCCAACTTTGCCCAGCCGCACGTTGGTATGTTCCAGGAGTCTTGGGGCATCAACCACATGCACCCTGGCATGCGCGGACCTGGCCACAAGAGACAGCGCAGTCGCTCCGTGCCCATGGCTGTCGATTTCTCGATGCTCCAAACTCCCATGCCCTCCTTCTATATCCAACAGCCGGGTGAAATGGCAGCTCCTCAGACGCCTGGTCCCAACATCTACGCACCGATTCCCCAGGCGCCCGGCGGACTCGGCCCCAACTTGAGAATCGACACCCAAGCCGGATTCGGTCTGGATATGCGCCAGTACCCGATGTCTGCCACCACCGCCTCCCCTTCCGAGTTCCCGACGAGCCCCAACTTCTTCTCCCAGGGCCCTGAGCCGAGCCCTCTCCCGGCCGCTTCCAGCTACAACACGCCGTACGGCAGTGCCTTCCTCTCTCCCATGGCACACCCGTCACCGAGCATGATCCCGCCCTCCGTGTCTCCCCTCTCATTCGGCAGCCACCACGGAGAGCCGTCCATTGTTGAGCAGTCGCCTCCGCTCTCCATGCTTGGTAGATCTGCATCCGCCGATATCTACCAGCAGGGCGACAACGGATCATGTGCCGTATCTGATGATGGTACCGGCCTGAATGAGATGTACTCCAAGCACACCATTAACCTGCCGATGCACCCTCACTCACCTGCGTATGGTGAGCAAGGCCACAACGACCTCGACATGAACCAACTGGTCCAGTTTGACCACGTTGACCCCAACTCAATGTCTCCCGAGTCCATGCACCAAACACCCCACTGATTCCTGACATCGGTCTGCCGTACTGAATAAGTCGGGAAGAATCCGGAGTTCCTTTCACTAGGACATGGCGTACATACAAACTTGGGAAGGCGTGCTCTCTCAAATGGTTTATTCGGGAGAGAGGAGTTGCTTGCCTTGGTCATTCACAGCTGGCGTTTTAGGCGCTCGACATATACCAGATGGGGTTGCCCTTGGTCTACTTTCAACACCGATGACTTTGATGTGTGATTCCGTTTTCGCTACCACATCATCCATCGGCCACGACGACTCTGCATGACGATACCTCTATTCGGAATCTCGATCATGCATGTCCGGCACAGGCGATCGTACCTTTGCACTTTTTGGATTTACTTCACCCTTCGAGTCATTTATTGTCGCGAACAAAGAAACCGGCTTCTGGTACGAGGGTGTGGGCATCTCACCATGCCCACAATTCATCACCAAATCTAGTCCTTTAGCCACGCCTACCTCGCGGAGACGATGGCGTGGCCCCTAATATCCTTCCCTTCTCTCTTGGTTGGCTTGCGCTGCACATCGCTGTCGTTGATATTTTTTATTTCATCTGTCATTGTTCATGAATCTCAGATGTCCTGGCTGCGGGTTTTGGAGGATGAAAATGGGGAAAAGCCCAGGTGGCTTGGGATTTTCCTGGTTCGTAATCAGTCACACACAACACATCTTTTTTATTGAGGATATACAACTCTCTCAAGACACACATTACTTGTTTACCTATATTGTTGGGTATTTTCTTGGTTTGATGGGTCGTGGGAGCAGGGCTTTGTGGCTTTTGTTGTTGAATGCCGGCACCGAAAGAGGTGGTAATGGGGAGCTGCCTCCGGTGGCCGAGCAGCGAAGAGGCTTGGCTGGCTGCTTTTCGAAAGAGAAGCGGCCAGCTTGTAAGCACTGACGATAGAGTTGAGAGACACATGGGCATTGAATCCCTGTTTTCCCACCTTGACATTCGGTCTCCTAATTGTGATGTGACTTTCAACGATTCCCAAATGATCAGCCCCATGATGCTTTCCAGTGATGTATCATGGCCACGACTGTTACGGTGAACCGATGTAACTTGCAAGACCCCGCAGGCCCTGCTACCAGAGGTAAGGCTTAATCAGAACCGACGCAGCCGTCTTCGATTTCAGGTCCGACGCCTCACCGATTATGCCCATGGAGCTTGGACGTAATGCAATTCCATCTGATGTGTCTCCTATGAGTTTGTGCGGGTAAGGCTGAAGAGAATCCGATCTGCCTTGAAGGCCCGGGAATGAGGAGGGGGGGGGGGGGGGGGGGTGTTTGCGCGCCCGCGCCACGTGTCCCCCGCAGGGGGGGGTGGGGGAGTGTCGGCGGGGGCGGGGGGGTGGAGGGGTGTGGGGGGGGGGGGGGGGGGGGGGGGGGGGGGGGGGGGGGGGGGGGGGGGGGGGGGTGGGTTGTCGCAGCCGCGTGCTCTGTTACGCAGCAAGGCAGGCTTGGACATGTTACGTGAGGTCGAGTTTCGCCGAGTCTTATGCTCTGCCCCAAGAGCAGAGATACAGCGTCTTACTGTACGGTATACAGTATTTACAAGAGTGTGCGCAGAAGGAGGATCAACGTGTAAGACCAAAGGTAGCGTGAGGTCTCGACTGGTCGGCTGGTCGGCTGGTCGGCTGATGTTTGGTAGCCCAACTGCCTAGCTTGTGTGCTTGCCCATCTCTTTTAGCCTAGTTCAGCGGAGGACGTTGGCGCGCGAGCCCGGCTGGTCCAGAGAGGCGGGGATGGATGGGTGGCCCTGGGTGCTTGGAGTGCATCTGGTCAGCGAGGCGGCGGCCTGCTAACAGGAGGTTCTTTGGGAGGCTTGAGGGACGCTCTGTGTACCCTAAATAAAGTAGGGTAAGCCGGGCGAGATCTGTCCATCATTGACTGCCTGTTCCGTTCAATCGTTCAATCGTAGCACGAGATGCTCTCTTTCTCTCTTCGCTTGAGTCGTGTTAAAATTTGCGGCTCCGAGAAGGCGGATCGGACGGGAACGATACAAAGGCATTGCGGACTCGAACAATTGTGCTTTGGGTGTGGTGTGAACGTTTCGACGGGAATTTCCGGCGGTATGGTATGGGATATTGCCCGATATTTCGAAGAACGGTCAGGAGCCATGTGCCATGTTGGACTGCTGCAGGCATCAACGGATGGAAATGAGATGAGACGGCGTTACTTTCCTGGACGCCGGAGCGGAGGGGGGGTCTGTGGCACCTTGCGGGTAGGGAATGCAGCCGGATACGGGGAACTCTAATCTTTTCACGGTGAGGTACTCCGTACTGTAGACTGTAGAGATCGGGTAGGGTGTATTTTCCCCTTCTTCGCAGTAGTATCCATACAAAGTATCCGTAGTGGTATGCGGTAGGTCTCTTCGATATCCAGGAAGTCCCCTGCAGTGTCTATAGGCTACCAGCCATCGGCCACGTTCGTCTGAAGGACGACGACGGTCTCGCACTTTCTCTCTCGTGTGCTAGTTGAACTCACGTGAGATGATGCGAGTCGGGGCAGTGTAGGTGCACAGTAGAGTAGCGCAGGTGCGTGTGGATGCTGTCAGCGACTTTGATGCTTTCTGTCAACCGCGTGATTGTTGAACAAGCTACAGAGTAATTAATCGGACTTGCATCTGCCACTTGAAGGATGGTCTTCTTTCGTCAACACCCACACAGGCACAGAATATTTGCCAAGTCATGAATGTCGGGCAGTGTTGGTGTTGCTTTCGCATTCGCAATGTTTCAATGCGTGCGGAAACACCAAGGAAAGTGTGTGATGGGAGCTGCGACAGTCGCCAAGATGGTCAATGACTTGTTGAAGCTGTCTTTGATGGATGGATGGATGGATAGAAATGGATGACCGATCGAAACCTTTTCCTCAGATCGTCCGCAGCTTCCGACGTCCGTTCGGATAGCAGGCAGGTTGTAGGCGGAGCGGGTCCTTCTGTGGTTGGAGATGGGCGGACAGCTTGGTACGTACTGCTGTGTCCTCACGGAGGAAATGGAAGGAATGGGTGGGTGTTGGCTCCTGCTTCGCTCGCACTTTGGCGATTCCCAGCTGGGAAGTTCAGGTGCATCCCATCTGTTGCCCAATGACGTCCTCAATGCGGGGACACGGCAAAATATCGAATGGGCTGCTGCACTGCTGCTGGCCTGCCAGTCGGAAGCCGGGACTTTCCCATTTTCTCCATGCCCGGGGCGCTGATGCTCTTTGGCGGCTGGCCACCTGAACTTTTCTCTTCCGCGCCCCGGCCCTTGATGAAAAAAGTCTCTATTTCGTCGTTCTTCATTCGCTCGTGTGCTGTATGGAGTACTGGCTGCTATTTCTCGCGCCCGACCTGCCGACCGCGATGGCCCCACGGATTCATGGATCCAACCAACTTTTCGTCGTCTTCGCGAACCGCGGATGAGCGCGTGGTGGGTGAGGAGCTGTTCCGCGGGCTTTTCGTTGATTCGTACGAGTACTTCGTAAGGAAAGGTCGGGCAACAAGATGACCGTGGCAGTGCAGAAGAGGCGCCAAGCCCGCATCAGACACTCAGACAGGTTCCTCCTACCTTGAGGCTTGCCTTGCAAAAGTGTACCGGTAGGTAGCCCTTTCTCCATTGATTGGGGGCTCCAGACGTATATTCGTTCCTGGGTATTTCCACACAATATCCCAGAGGTCCAAGACCAACCAACCCACCTAGTCACCGACTCACCAGTGAGCCGCGGCCTGATAATCTTGACTTTTTGCCAAGCGCCTCGTCGTCGTCCATACTTGCGTATTGAACGCGGCGCAGTTCTGTACGCTGCAACCTTTTCGGCTCTACTCGTGTCTACTCGTGAGGTGTCTACCAAGTACCAAGAGGAAGGCAAGGAACTGCCAAGGAGCCCTCATCTGCTTTCCCTTTAGGTGCAGAGTATCTAATCTGCCAACGGTTGACGAGTACAATTGATGGGGGAGCATCGACCTAGTTCCATTTACGGGGACCTTCCGCCGGCGCTTCCTTCGGCGTCCACCTCTTACGGGAATACAGCACCGCCCAGCCTGCCAATTTTTTTACCTCGACGTCTCTCGTCCTCGATTCGAGGCTGGCTCGCCTTGCTTACTACTACTCAACACCACTGTTCAACAACATCAACACCATTAGCATTTTCCTGAATTGTTAATCTTCAAGACGACTGTTCTGTCATTCACTTGCGCACTATACCCGCCCGTGACGTCGCGGCAATCGCAGATCCTGCCACTTTCTTAAGACGCTTTCAGTTCTTCCTGCAAAACCAGTATATACGTTTCTGTGCAGCTTTTGGCCACCTGCGCTGGTCCGGCACTTGGGGATCCCACGACTCCAAAGGACCACGCCAGATCCAGAAAGGAACGCGCCGCCACCTCCAAGACGAGCCCAATGAAGAGCTTCATGGCCGAGCCACTCTGGTGAATCCGGGCCGCTTTCTAAGGGATCCGTCTGGAACAAGCCCATTTTTGCCGTCCTTCTAGTCTCGAGCTAGCCTTGACCAGCTAACCACCACTGTGGTTCTCGATCCGCGCTTCTGGGGGCTAGACTGAGACTGCCACTGCTCAGTGTACGGCCTAGACAGAAAGCGACCAAGCCTCGCCTCGCGCGCCCCTCAAGAATGGACAGACGGCATCTGGGCGACGCCCCTTCACAGCAACATGAAGACGCTGACCCCGCCCCAAGAACGTCGTCGAGCTCAACCTCCTCTGACCATAATGACAACGATCTTCATGACATATCCTCGCCATCAGTGAATCTCGCGCCACGCGCAGCGCAAAGGTTTCACCCGAGACGAGCCATCACCGAACCCATGGGGAGCAAAGGCGCCCTCGACGGCGGTCATGTCCGTTTCTCGGACGAGCTTCAACGAGACTCCAGGCGCAGCTTTGACCCGCCGTCATCACACCCGAACTCGAATAGGCCAGGGCTCTACACGATTCCCTCAAGGGGTGATCTCGAGGGCCATATCCATGACGAGCCCTCGTCCTCACGGCCTCGACGGGGCAGCGACCACAGTTCCGCGCAGCCTTCAGACTCTGATCTCAAGTATCCAGTCTACCGACCAGAGCCAACGAAAAGGACAAAATGGCGCGTTGCGCAGGAGTCGGCCAGCGACCAGCTAAGGAAGGCCTACAATGTGTACATTGTACAGGGATTATTGCGACAGAAGCCGCTCCCGCCGAGCGCAGATGGAAGGCATATCCCACTCGACATGTCAAGGGAACGGAGTGACCTTCTCATCGACGAACGCACTAAGAAGTCGTACGCCAGTAATTTTATCCGATCCAGTCGATACACGATATGGAGCTTCCTGCCCAAACAGCTCCTGTTCCAGTTCAGTAAGATGGGCAACTTCTACTTCCTTGTCGTCGGTATCATTCAGGCCATCCCCGGACTCAGCACTACGGGCCAGTGGACTACCATTGCACCTCTCGCCGTGTTTGTGTCATTATCAATGGCTAAGGAAGGATACGACGACTACCGCCGGTATCTGCTGGCAAAGACGGAAAACTTGAGTCGCGCATGGGTTTTGGGCGAACGATCCAAGAAGGCGACAGCGAGGATGAAGAGGCACAAGGATGGCGAAGTTGCGGAATACTCGGCCGATGGATGGACCGAGATTGAATGGCAGGACCTCAAGGTTGGCGACGTCGTTAGGCTTCAACGCGACGACGACATTCCGGCGGATATCGTCCTTCTGTACGCGTCCGGGCCCAACGGTACCGCATACATCGAGACTATGGCTTTGGACGGCGAGACGAATTTGAAGGCCAAGAGAGCCTCACCTGTTCTCGCTGAAAGGTGTCAAACTCTGCAAGGCATCGAGTCTTGTCAGGCAACCATCGTTTCCGAGGACCCGAATCTGGACCTTTATAGGTACGACGGACGTGTCACTGTCAACGGAGAGACACTGCCGCTGTCACTCGACAATGTCATTTACCGCGGCTCCACGGTGCGAAACACTACAGAAGCTATCGGCATCGTCGTGAACACGGGTGAAGAATGCAAGATCCGAATGAACGCTCACAAGCACGTACGCACAAAAGCACCTGCCATGCAGCGCGTCCTTAACAGAATCGTCGTTTGGCTCATAGTAGTGCTACTCGGCCTCAGCAGCGGTTTAACCTTGGGCCACTATCTGTGGCGAGACCCTGCCGAGTCTTCTTGGTACTTTATGGGCGAGCGCATTAAGATGAGAAAGATCTTTATTGCTTTCATACTCATGTTCAACACGCTCATCCCTCTTTCGTTGTACATCAGTTTGGAAATCATCAAGATCATACAGTTTTACATGATGGGAGACGTCGAGATGTACGACCCGGTCACTAATACGCCAATGGTTGCCAACACCACGACGATCCTCGAAGACTTGGGCCAAGTCAACTACGTCTTCTCAGACAAGACAGGCACCTTGACGGAAAACGTGATGCGCTTCAGAAAGATGAGCGTCGCCGGCACCGCATGGCTGCACGATATGGACATTGAACGAGACGAACACGCCAAGCAAAAGTTGATTGACATGGCTCGTAAGAAGCGCAAGGGAAAAGGCAAGGACAAGAACCGCGAAAAGACAACGAGCGATCACGACAACTATTCGTCATCGACACCAGTACAAGGAAGGCCGTCCATCAGCACTTATGGACGGGGACGCTCTACAAGTCGGGCGCCTCAAGCCGAGCCCGAGCTCAAGACGGAAGACCTCCTGGACTACCTGCGACGTAAACCGGACACTGTCTTTTCCAAGAAAGCCAAGCAATTCCTACTCTGCATCGCTCTCTGCCACACATGTTTACCCGAGACAAAGGAAGACGGCGAGATCGAATACCAAGCTGCTTCTCCCGATGAACTTGCTTTGGTTGAAGCTGCGAGAGATCTTGGCTACCTCCTCATTGACCGGCCTGCACAATCAGTCATTCTCCAAATTCCCGAAGCTGATGGAACGATCAAAAGAGAGACCTACCAGGTGCTAGACGTCATTGAGTTCAGCAGTCAGAGGAAGAGGATGTCCATCATCATGCGTATGCCCGACGGCAGAGTATGTGTTTACTGCAAAGGCGCCGACAACGTCATCTTGCCTCGTCTCAAGCTTAGCGGCCTTGCCACACAAAAGGCAAGCGACGTCAATCGGAGAGCCTCGATTCGTAGGAGTGTCGAGAGGGAAAAGGCACAGCAACGCCTCAGCACGAGTGGAACGCCCCGCAGCAGCTTTGCAATTGGGAGAACGTCAATGTCAGATCGACGTAGCATGATGAACCAGAGAATCTCCGGTGACATGCTCAGACGATCCAGCGCCATTACCGACGACGCTGACGCATGGACCTCACGCAGAGGTTCAGCAGACATCCTCTCGCCCATGAGCGCTCACGAAATTTGGTCATCGCCACGCCACAGCATGGCCATGTCAGCAAACGAGGATGAAGTGGATGACTTCATTGACGAGTCCGTGGCTCTCAACGAGGGCACCGTTCTCGAACGATGCTTCACGCACATCAACGAGTTTGCTTCGGAGGGACTGCGGACTTTACTGTACGGCTACCGATACATCAGCGAGGATGATTACAACACGTGGAAAAGGATCTATCATGATGCCACCACTAGTTTGGATAATCGACAAGAAAAGATCGAGGCGGCCGGTGAGCTCATTGAGGATAAGTTCGAACTCGCCGGTGCCACCGCCATCGAGGATCGATTGCAAGAGGGCGTACCAGAAACGATTGAAAAGCTCCGTCGCGCCGAGATCAAGGTTTGGATGCTGACGGGAGATAAGCGCGAGACTGCCATCAATATCGGTCACTCTGCCGGCCTGTGCAAGCCATTCTCCGAGGTCTTCATCCTGGATGCTACAATGGGCAACCTGCAGGAGTCAATCCTCTCGACCCTGGGTGAAGTCGCCCGAGGTATGGCGCCCCACGCGGTAGTAGTGGTCGACGGTCAGACCTTGGGTATCATTGAAGGAGACGAGGACCTCAGCTTCCTCTTCTTCGACCTTGTAGTGAGGGTTGACTCGGTCATTTGTTGTCGCGCCTCTCCCTCGCAGAAGGCCACTCTTGTCAAGCGTATTCGCCGGCAGGTACCTCACTCCCTGACTCTAGCCATTGGCGACGGCGCCAACGACATCGGCATGATCCAAGCCTCGCATGTTGGTATCGGTATCTCGGGCCGCGAAGGTCTCCAAGCCGCTCGCATTTCCGACTACGCCATTGCGCAATTCCGCTTCTTGCAGCGTCTTCTCTTTGTCCACGGCCGCTGGAACTACCTTAGGACTGGCAGATATATTCTCGCCACTTTTTGGAAGGAAATTGTCTTCTTCCTACCACAGGCTTACTTCCAGCGTTACACGGGATACACCGGGACGTCTCTATATGAAAATTGGAGTTTGACGGTATTCAACACTTTCTTCACGTCGCTCGCTGTTATCTTGTTAGGCGGTTTGGAAAAGGATCTGCAAGCCAAGACGCTCCTTGAATTCCCCGAGCTCTACACCTTTGGCCACAAGAACAGAGCTTTCAACATCAAGCTTTATATTGGCTGGACATTCCTCGGGCTGATTGAGTCTCTCATCATCTTTTGGGTGACCTGGGCAGTCTACAATTCGCTGCCTTTTGATCAGGACACATCGCTCTATGCTATGGGATCCGTTCCCTTTACAGTTGCTGTGGTGTTTATCAATATCAAGTTGCTGTGAGATACTTCGTGTGGAATTGTGTATAATATTTTGCTAACAAGTTTAGGGTTCTTGAGATGGAAAACAAGAACATAATCATTCTGGCCGGGTTTCTCATCTCGGTCGGGGGTTGGTTCTTGTGGAACATCATTCTTTCCGCAGCTTTCCGGCCCATCCTGCGCATCTATCAGCTTCGCCACGCGTTCATTCATAACTTTGGTAGAACGTTGAGCTTCTGGACTACTATTCTCCTTGCACTTGCGACCGTTATCTGCTTGGAGCTGATAGTCGACGCGATACGTCGGGTCTACTGGCCGCGCGATGTTGATATCATGCAACGTCTCGAGAGGAAGGGCTTCAATGCGGATGACGCGGCCGAAGGAATGGAAGGTGGCCACGGCGAGACCTCTGGAACGGTGCTAGAAGTTATCAGCAGCAAGACCAAGTCAGTCTTTGGCCATACCGAGGAGAGGCCCTCGAACCTTGACGGGGCACCTAGGCCAAGTCACTCCACCACTCGGCCTTCATTCCACCAGGCACGACAGTCTCGAAGGTCGAGAGACGAGTCGGCCGCTAGGTCTTTCACGCCTCCGGTTGAGGAAGCCAACATTGCAGGCCCAGAGTTGAGTTCAGAGCTAACGAAAAAGCCACGCCTTTCTGTGGCGACGAGGTGGTTGGGGAGCTCAAAGAACACTCCAGTGAATGGCCCCATTGAGCTGCGGTCGACTGGTCAATCATCGAGGCCGTAAAAAGAAGGAGGAGGAGAATTGTTTTTGTAAATGATTGGCCGTTATGATTTAGCATTATGGTTACTTGGACTGTCCTTTTCGGGTTCCGGGGTTTTGGTTCTTGTTCTTGATACCATAAAGCATGATGGGTTTCCCTTTTACGTTTGGCGTTTTCAGAGGTCAAACATTGGTCGGCAGTAGACAGCGGGGGACTGCATACAACAGGCAGGCGTAGTAGTCTGTGTACATACGGGGAAAAGACTACCTTATGCGATGAATTCAAGACTCTCTCAACTATCACGATGATGAACTAACACGACCATTTCCACTATGATTGTCTGTTGCTCCTGAGAAAACAGAGCCGCCATGCTTTATTATGCATTAGAACAAGTGCGAAGAGCAGGAAGAATCTGGCTGTGGTGTATGTACATGATCATGATTTCGATGATTAGTGTGGCCTTGTGGGCTTCATTCATACTCGCTTGAGGGTTGGTGATGAGGCTTGGCAGGGTTAGTTGTCCTCCTTCTTCTCTTCCTTCTTCTCGTCCTTCTTCTCGTCCTTCTTCTCGTCCTTCTTCTCGTCCTTCTTCTCGTCCTTCTTCTCCTCGGGCTTGTCTTCCTTCTTGTCGTCAGACTTCTCCTCCTTCTTGTCATCAGACTTCTCCTTCTTATCATCAGACTTCTCCTTCTTGTCGTCAGACTTCTCCTGCTTATTATCAGACTTCTCTTCCTTCTCCTCACCCTTCTTCTCGTCCTTAGACTCTTCCTTAGGCTTGTCCTCGGACTTTTCTTCCTTCTTCTCATCCTCGGGCTTCTCGGACTTGTCTTCCTTCTTATCCTCTGACTTCTCCTCAGACTTCACATCCTTCTTCTTTTCAGACTTATCATCCTCCTTCTCCTCGGGCTTTGACTCCTCCTTGTCCTCAGACTTTGACTCCTCTTCCTTCTCCTCCTTCTCCTCAGACTCATCGTGCTTCTCCTCCTCATCATGCTTGGCATGAGCAGCGCCGTGGCCCTTGGACGGCGCGGGGCCGCTCCATGGCTGGATGACGGCCAGGCCGGCGGCGAAGACGACTGCTGAGCCAATGGCACTGTATCACGGATAGTGGTCAGACACGTCATCCTCGGGCAAGTCTTGACTGGCAATCGTCCCGTTTCACACAAAATGCTCAATTCAAGGAGCCAATTGGGTTCTAGATGGGGATACAAAGGCAATTGGACTTACAGAGGAAGCTCGCTCTGGGGCTTCGCGCCATGTTGGCTGGCGTAGGTCTTCTGGCCGACCTGGGAACGGAACTGGGGACGGATCGTCCGGCGCGCCGAGGATCGGAGGGCGGAACGCAGGGAAGCTGCTCTGGCGAAAGACATTGTGAAAGTGTGTAGTACGGAGTACAGAGTGAAGGCAGGGAAATGCTCAAGTCGCTACAAGGAAGGAGGAAGCTCAATGGCAAGACCAACTGGAATAGTTGCGAGTGTCCTTTGTAGAGAAAACAAACAGGAGGAAACGAGGAAAGGGACCAAGAGAGCAACACGAGAAAAACCCGCTTGGGAAAGCACGTAAGGAAGCCAAAAGAAGGGGAAAAAAAGCTGGGGTTGGATTGGTGTGGCTTGGCCTTGGTTTCTGGCCTGTTGTGCTGGCTGACTTTGAGTGACCTGCCGTCCGAAGTCTAGAAGCTCGGAGCTGCGAGCTCTCTGCCTCCAGCTTGCACCAGCAACGAGCTTCCAGAGCAATCGACCAATGGTAGGGAAGAGGCTGGATACCGTGTACTGTGTAGCGCCTGGATGCCGGGGGTGGCTGGTTCCCCACAGCTTTGTGGTGACGACATTTGCCGGGGGGTGCCGAAGGGGCCCGCACGACATACCTACCTACCTTACCTCAATTCCCAAATGGGAAGATGGGAACTCGGGGTCAAGGTCTCGAGGCTCCACTCCATGCTTATCTAATCTTTGGACGGAATAACTCATCGGGGAACGAGCTTGGACTGGCACGGACCTGATGGATTTCCCAGAGACTTACATAACGCTCCGGCGTGGTGGAGGTCACTGCGAGCCCAGTGGTAGGGGTCCACTTTCGCGGGGCAAGAACGTCCCGGAACTGGTAGCATTGAGGGGACCTCTGTCTGTAAGGTATTGTCTGAGGTACCTGGTGGGCTGTCTAAGGTAATCCCGCCCAACGACACTTGACTGGGCCCTTCCTGCCTGGAGCTCTGGAACCTGTAACCCCACCACCAACAACGCCTCTTTCACGAGGGTCTCTGTTGTCGTGATCCAAAGCCAACATAAAAAAACAACCCAGCCCAATTTGCCGCCCCGACACATATCGTATCTTTCCGCCATCTTTTCACTTATCGCCGGACTGTCGACCTTCTTTTTTCTTTCCTCTGCATGGTCAGAGGAACCCATTCCCCGCTGACACGCCACCTGCCGCGATAACCTCCTCATCTCCATCACCCTCGTACGCAGCGAACTAGCCCATCCGACATACTCCAAGATGGCTTCGTCAAGCGTGCCGGCGAATCCGACGCCGCAGACAGTGATCCAGCTCGTGCAGAAGCTAGGAGACGCAGACCCGGATTTCCGCTTCATGTCGCTCAACGATCTGCTCCAGGTCCTAGCGAACGGCAAGCCCGACTTTTTGCACCACGACTATAACGTCGCCGCACGTACTGTTGATAGCATCATCAAGGCGCTCGACGACCAGAATGGAGAGGTGCAGAACCTGGCGATCAAATGGTGCGAGAATCTGAACCCCTTTGCTATCTTTGCAAATCCCTCCCAACGCTCGACAAGCAATGCCAGGAGCTAAACAGTTTCCCCACACAGTCTCGGACCGCTGGTTATGAAAGTACCGACCCCGATTATCGCACCGATGATTGAGAAACTCTCTGCAATCAAGCTTAAGAACTCGGTTGACAATGCTGTCCCCTCGCTCGCCCTCCGCGCCGTCATCATGGCCCTCCCGAAACCCACACCTGGCTTGCCGCCCGCCAAGGACGTGACAGAATCATACCAAGCCGTCAGCCGCGTTCTGATCCCGCGACTTCTGGGACCCGGTGGCAAGGTGCAGCCGCAGAACCCCTCGAACAACATTCAGTTGCCGCCCGTCCCGCAGGGTCTCCTTAAGGTGGACAAAGACCTTAGCGCAGAGTCGGTAGACATTCTTATCGAGGTTGTCAGATGCTTTGGCGTGATGCTCTCGCCCCTCGAGGTCGAGGCGATGCAAGATGCGGTCATTAGTCTGCTCGAGAACGACAAGACATCATCAGTCGTGAAGAAGAGAGCTGTCGTGGCTACTTCGATACTTGCTATTCACCTGTCGGACGAGTTGCTCAGCCAGATGGTCGACCGAATGGGCAACGACCTGGCCAAGGCCGATATCTCTGCAGTCACACGCCGTCTCTATATTTCAATCACTGGCTCATTGGCAAGATCCATTCCCAATCGTTTCGGCTCATACCTGAAGACTCTGGTGCCCTTCATTCTCCAAGCTCTGAGCGAGGGTGAGCTTGAGAAGCATCTGGAGGAGATCAGCGACGGAGATGACATTGGCCAGGAGTTCAACGAGGTGCGAGAATCCGCTCTCGTTGCCCTGGAGTCATTCCTCGCCGCTTGCCCGACGCAGATGCGCCCCTTTACCGACCAAACCATCCAGGCGACCCTCAGATATCTCAAGTACGACCCCAACTACGCAATGGGCGACGATGACGAAGATATGGACGTTGACGACGAGGATGAGGATGAGGATGATGACGAATTCGAAGACGATGCTGGCTTTGATGATGATGACGACGCAAGCTGGAAGGTTCGTCGTTGTGCCGCCAAGGCTCTTTACACCCTCATCTCAACCCGTGGAAGTGGTGATTTGTTAGAGAACGGTGTTCTGTACAGCCAGGCTGGACCCACTTTGGTAAAGAGGTTCGACGAGAGAGAGGAGAACGTCCGTCTAGAAGTTATTGCTTGTCTGTCTCTTCTTGTGCGCAAGACGGGCGAGGGCATGTATCCCACTGATCTCTCACTCGACGATCACGAGCCCGAGGCCCCTAGCTCCATCCCCATCAGCAGAAAACGCAGACGTCAGAGCAGCGGCGGCGGTTCTATGAGCACCCCTCATGCCGCCACAGGTCTTACATCCCCCACCCTCGAGAGAATCCCTTCGACTGGACCCCGCGCAGATTTGGCTCGCTTCACCCCGACGATTGTGAAGGCTTCCACCAAGTTGCTCAAGGGCAAGGTTATTCCTACCAAGCAGGCCATCATCAACCTCCTCGACGATATCATCACGGTCCAGCGGGGTGGTCTTTCCGACTATTTCAACGACGCCATCGGCCCCATCATTGAGTCTATTAAACCCACGGGAGCCTCAGCACTCGCCTCATCTCTGGCTGCCTCTGGTGGAAATGCGTCCGCGACACCCAGCACTCTGCGTGTTGCCGCCCTGAAACTTACCAGCGATATTGCCAAGACCCATTCGTCAAGTCTCTTGCAGCCGTACCTGACCAAGATAGTGGCTGGTGTCATTTCGGCAGCCAACGATCGATTCTACAAGATCTCAAGTGAAGCCATCGGAACGATTGAGGAGTTGGTAAAGGCAATCACTCCCCCTCGGTCCAAGATGACGGCACAAAAGTTCAAGGGCGAGCTTCAGAAGCTCTTCGACACGATCATGAACAGAATTACTGCGACTGACGCCGATGCTGAAGTCAAGCAGCGTGGTATCCACGCCTTGGGAGTCTTGCTGTCTAGAACCTCCGGTGCCGACGGCAATGGTCTGATCCCAGCCGACAAGCGACAGGCTGCCTTGACTGCACTTCTTGACCGCCTCAAGAACGAGACGACTCGCTTGGCTGCCGTCAGAGCTGTCGATAACGTCGCAGCTTTCAGCACTAGCAGTGGCCAGCTCGAGACGTCGTGGATTCGGGAGGTCGCCCTCGAGCTTGCGGGACAACTCCGCAAGGCTAACCGGGCTCTTCGCGGTTCTAGCGTGCTCGCACTCAAGCATTTGGTTGTGTCGCCGACCGCCAGAGGTCAATTGGATGCAGACACTATCCAGGGCCTGGTTTCGTCGTTGGTGCCCGTTATTAGTAACAACGACACCCATCTGTTGGCACCTGCCCTGCTCATTCTCGCGACCCTCGTCGAGGAAAACGCCGACCTCGTGGTCACCCAGTCAATGACTGCGACTATCTGCAGTCTGCTCAAGTCAAGCTATGCCAGCATCGTCCTAGACCAAATTCTTATTCTTGTCACCAAAGTTGGCGAGAGCGGCGCTGGCCAGCCTCTCATGCAAGGGCTTCTCAATGACGTTAGTATCGAAGGAGACCCCGTTGTCGTGGGCAAGGTCATTGGTGCACTTCTTGTGGCCAGTGGAAGCTCGGCTGGCGTCACAGTCGAGAGCTTCATTTCCGAGTTGCAAACCAGCTCCAGAAACAAGGACGACGCTCGCTTGAGCTTGGCGCTTGCGGTGCTCGGCGAGGCTGGTCTCCGTCTTGGAGCCAACTCGCCATTGAAGGCGGAACTATTCTTGCAACAGTTCCACGAAGAGCCCGACAAGGTCTCTATCTCTGCTGCAGTGGCCCTTGGCCGTGCTGGCTCCGGCAATGTTTCCGAGTACCTCCCAGTCATTCTGGCAACCATGCAGAAGGGTGGCAACACGCAATACTTGCTTATCCAGTCGATAAAGGAGATCCTGCAGCAAGTCAACGTTCTCTCTGCCGAAGTCTCCAAGTTCGCGGCCGATATCTGGCAGCACCTCCTTTCCGCCTCTACTATTCCCGATAACCGAGTGGTGTGCGCGGAATGTGTGGGACGACTGACCATTATCGACTCTCAGACCTTCATGCCTCAGCTTCAGGTAAATTGAACAAATTCATCACGGATAGAGTGAAACTAACAACAACAAAGTCCCTTCTCAGGAATGAGAACCCCGACATTCGGGGCATGTCTGTTCAGGCTGTTCGATACACGCTTCCTGATAGTGACGAGGCTTTCGACGCCATGCTCAAGAATGTCCTTGTCGATATGCTGCTTGTCATGCTGCAGGATTCAGAGATGGACAACCGCCGCTTGGCGATGTCGACACTCAACTCGGCTGCACACAACAAGCCCGATCTTATCCTGCCTCACCTCGGCGAGCTAATGCCGTTTGTGTTGACCGAGTCGGTGATCAAGCCACAATTGATCAGAGAGGTCATGATGGGCCCTTTCAAACATATGGTGGATGATGGCCTTGAAGTCCGAAAGGTATGTCATGTCTTATCTCGGAAGGTTGATGCCGGCTGTTGCTAACCACAGACACAGAGCGCTTACGAGACCCTGTACGCTCTCATGGAGACGGCCTTCTCGCGAATCAACAACATTGACTTCTACGACCGCGTGGTCGCTGGTCTGAAAGATGACAACGACATTCGCAGTCTCTGCAACTTAATGGTCTCCAAGCTTATCGCGCTTGATCCTGATGAGACTAGCCGTCGCCTTGACTCCATCGCCGAGGCATACCGCGCCATCTTGTCAACCAAGCTTAAGGACGGAGCCGTCAAGCAGGATGTGGAGAAGCAGGAGGAGGCGAACAAGAGCGTTCTTAGGGTCACGCTCTTGCTCGGAGACAAACTCAAGGGTGCAAAGGATGGCTCTGGCAAGGGGGCAGCCAACGCGAGTGCTGGAGGTGCCAGCCAGGCGTGGAACGCTTACTGGGAGTGGGTTAACAAGGAGTTCCAAGCGCAGCTTAGAAGCCTGCGTGAGGAAACCAAGAACCTTAGCATTCTGTAGTACAGACACTACATAGAGGCAGGCCACCTTCATCTTACTCTTGAAGATGAGGCATAGCTGGGACGCGTGAGGACAGCAGAGGATGAATAAAATTCTAGCATTTGATTTGTGAAGTAGTCTTCGGGAAAATAAGGAGGTCTCACAGCCGAGGCGAATAATTAGTCCAAGTGCCTTTCTTGATCCGTGAAGCATACCCCGAAGCCATGCTAGGTGGATCTATGAGGTTTTATTCGAAAGTTGGAAAATAAGATCACCTCACTTTGGCCATGCGTCTTGAGAAGGTCGACGATTCCTCGCATATTTGAAGCTTGTAGGTGGTTCGATGGTTCACGCCGGTGGGTAAGGCCGAGTGAAGGGCATTTCATGACGATACTGTACACTTGTGGATCACGCGTGCCATCAGTCCTCCTGGGTTACGTTCCGCCTCGGTGAGGAAATAGAGATGCGCTTGGTCTACGCTGATGATTGTATGTATTACGGCGGGTTAGAGCGTCTTTTCAGGGTATCTCCCGGAGTAATGAGGACGTTTCTCGGGCCTGTCTCTTACTTCGCCTTCTTCGTTGAATGAGTGGTTTTGACGATGGATCTTTGCTGGAGGCATCATGGAATTATGATTCCATTGCGTGGGTTCGATGGTTGGAAGAATGTGGCTCCTTGAATTGGAGTTCTCGATCCAAACTCGATGTATTGCGTGTAGATATGCGACTGTGCGCTAGTGATATAAGGCAGAGAAGCCGGGAATCGGCCTACTATTCCTTTTCCAGACGTCTTGATCGAGGATGGGAGTTCTCCTACTGGTGAGGAGATCATCAGACTCCTTTATTTATGCTGGATAGCCTCGAGAAATGGCAGCCCTCATGATCCTCTGTGTGTCTTCACGCGAGCAAGGCAGGGAGTGCCTTGCTGTCATCTAGTGGATTAACTTGGGGAAGAGTCGACTCTAATTATCGGCCTGAGTCGTGGTCAGAGTCTTCTTTTTTTGGCCAGCTATATTGAATAGCTTTCACCAATCTATCCATGCTTCAGGTGGCTGTTTTCAGTTGGTGGGACTTCTTTGATGGATCGAAACTTTTTCTAGCTTAAAGTGCCTCTAGTAGATGACACTATTCAAGTCCCCAAGTAAACTGTCCTTCTTTGTCAGTGTATACCTCTATGAATAGGAGGCAAGAAACTACTACGCAGGAAGTAGGGTGTTGGGGTAAAGGTAAATGCCCCAATGTAGAGCATCTACTTTCTCCCGGGCGTTTCCGTTTTGTTCGCTGTCTTCTAGGTAAAGAGAGCACATGTCCTTCGGAACCAAACGCACAAAGAGACGAGTTGCTAAATTAGGAAGAGATGGAGGGCATCGCGCGATACATTTATAGCCTTGTAGAGAAGACATTTGCTTTCTGTTTGCTGTCTCCCCGAGATAGTATGCTTGGAGTCCTCCTCGCTAGGCATAAAAGAAGGACCGCTGCGGCAGCTTTACGTTTCGCTTTTCAAGATGAGTTCGTCTCGGGTTTTGAGCCCTTCCAACTTGGGAGCTGTCGAAGTCTTCTATGTTATGAGAGGCTTCGGCAACACTTAGAAACGGACATCAATCATACATTAGCCATATCTCAAGTAGCAGTGTAAATGTAGTCGTAAATTCTCTCCCCTTGTGAACAGACACATATACTTCAACACAGAAGTCGAGAGCCAGAAGGGGACAAGGACATCCCCCCCCCCTCCTTTTTTTTCAAAATGCGCAAGGAGTGGACACGATGTATCTTGGACACTCTGGACGCAGAGAACTTCATCCCGGTCGTCAGCTATCCCAATCGTCAGCTATCCCAGTCTCCAAGCCTGGCGCAAAGAAGCAAAACGGTTGCCTCGAAGACGATGACATTGGCCTTAACTCAGACATCTGTGCATTCGTAGAATTTTGCGGCATTTATAGCAAACCAAGCCCTTACTTACTCGTTCTCTCTAATGTTTCCAAGAAAGCGAGGATTGTAGGCACGTGGACTTATTCATTTAGGCAGGCGTTCTCAACTTTCTTAGGTTATCGTCTTAGACTTACACGGTCCGATGTATCAACAAGCTATTTCAGAAACGAAGATATAGCCCACGTCCCCCGGGCAATGTTGCTGCCCTGGATTATGCCTTGCACAATACCAATAGACAATGAGAAGCCAACCCATTTGAACCTCCATGTACCCGAATCCACAACCACATCCACTCTCTCATAAATTCCAGTTCATGTTGTCTCGCCCTCTCTACTCCCAGAACCCCCACCCCATCAAGCCTCACATACCCATCCCCACACCCTTCACCTCGTCACCAACCCAACTCCCCAGACACACAGCATCCACCCATTCCGCAACTCCACCCACTCACATCTCCACCACGGTTCCCACAAACCCACACCGCAACCCTCTCTATTTTCCTCCATCGTCGAATGAATCGTCAATCAAGACAACAAGCCTTGTTGGCTAAGTGGTATAGCGTCTCACTAGTAGCTAGTGACATGAGAAGATCGGCGGTTCGATTCCGCCACGAGGCATACAAAAGCGTAGTTCCTTCACGGGAGCGATGATCTCTTTTTTGCGTTTTATAATTTATTCCTTGGTGGGAGTTTCCAGTCTACGAATGTGTCAAGACGTAGTCCAGGGGTTCATTGCTTTTTTCTTTGGGCCAGAGGTGGTTGACCGTTGACACCACAGTTCTTCTGTGTCTACTTCTGCAACCAAACTTGAAGTTTGCTAAAAGCTCCCTGTTCACCGTTCAAGTAGGAGAGGACGTGGTTATCGGAATTGAAAGATCTAGCTAATGTTGGACTTGTAAATATGTACGTCTACGGTTGCTGGCTCGCATACGATGGCGACAAAGTTGGTGCCATGATGTTTCACTGAACGTCGAACAACACGTTCCAAGGACGTAGTTGACCAATCTCTCTTCACAACAGTCACGACGCGGCATAGCTGTTAGACCATCATATGAATGGACAAAGAAAAGTTTTCCAGTATCTACGGAATCTGACACTACCCAGCCCTTATTAAAACACAGCAGCCAACGCTGGCGCAAGCTAGACGATACAAGCCTACCCACGCTGATTGCTTAAAGCAATAGTACACGAAGAAGTAGCTTTTGTGCAGTGGCCAGAGTCTCTCTTTCGCTTTCTGACTCCCCAATTATCCTCCGCCAGCCTTCTTGGCCTCCTCGTCGGCCTTGGCCTTATCTTCTGCCTGCTTCTTCGTTTCCTCCTCGGCCTGCTTTTTCGTCTCTTCATGAGCGGCCTTCTGCTTGGCATCTTCCTCTGCCTTCTGCTTTTTTGACTCTTCCTCGGCCTTCTTAGCCTCTTCTTCGGCCTCCCTGGCCTTCTTTGCATCCTCCTCTGCTCTCTTTCTAGCTTCGACTTCAGCCTCGGCCTTCTTCTTATCTTGTTCTTCGTCGTTCTTCTTCGCCTCCTCGGTGACCTTTTGAGCCTCGCCCTCAACAAGCGTTGACTGAGTATTTTGCTCCTCGTCATCAACGTCAACCAGTCTTCCAGAATCCCACTTCTTCTTGGCGGCCTTGAGCAGCGATGGCAGTTCTCCGCTCATGTCGCACATGCCACGGAAGCTGCCGTTCTCCTTGCGAATCAGCTCGTACGGGTGACCGTACTCGACGACGGCACCCTTGTCGAGAACGAGAACCTTATCGTAATCTACAATAGTCTGCAGGCGATGGGCAATGGTGATGATGGTGCTTGTCAACTCGCGGATGGTCTCCTGGATTTTGGTATCGGTGGCGTAATCGATGGAAGCTGTCGCCTCGTCCATGACTAGAACATTGGGCCGCTTCAAAAGGGCACGGGCGAGGCAGAGCAGCTGGCGCTGACCCTGAGACAGGTTGGAACCGGACTCCGAGACAGTCGACGAAAGGTTGAGGAAGATGTTCTTGTTTGTAGGCGCAATGGAGGAGCCAGGGCTAGAGTTAGAATCTCCACGAATCAGACCCAGGTTGGGCGTGGCGGGCAACATTGACCCGGCAGACGGCGTAGTCGGTCTGGTTGCCGGTCTGGAAGTTGACTCGTTGGGGCCGATAAGCTGCACCTTGCGAAGCGCCTCAAAGATTTGTTCGTCCGTGTACGCATCGAAGGGGTCCAAGTTGGAGCGAATGGTGCCCATGAAAAGGGTGGGGTCCTGGGGAACAATAGTAATGGCCTCACGCAAATCGCGGAGTCCAATGAGGCCGACATCGATATCGTCGATGAGGATCTTGCCTTCGTCGGCCTCGAGGGCACGGAAAATAGCCAGGGCAAGCGAACTTTTGCCAGCACCAGTCCTGCCAACGATGCCAACCTTCTCCTTGGGGTTGATCTTGAAACTGAGACCACGCAGAACGGGGTCCAAGTCTGCGCGGTAACGAGTGGAGTAGTTGATGAATTCTACAGATCCTTGGCTAGGCCAGTTCTTGGGGGGTCGGTTCTTCTCGTCAATCGGCTCGGCCTCCTGCTCGACATCCAAGTACTCCTTGATACGCTCCACCGAGTTCATGTTTTGCTCGTTGATAGCATAGAGACGGATGAGCCACAAGACGTTCTCGGTGAAGCCAATGGCGTAACTGAGGGAAATGCCGGCAGAGCCAGCATCGACGCTGCCCGTGCCCAAGCTGAAGATGATGAAGACACCAGCGAAGAATGAAACCGTATCACCAAGCACATCAGTTCTGAACGCAAGCCAACGGTTCGCAGCCCAAAGATAGATAAAGGGACGAGCTTGGACGTTGATCTTGGACAGGTTCTCGCGGATGAAGCGGCGCTCGTCACCGTAAGCTCGGATCGTCGTCATGCCAGACAGAGTCTCTCCAAACTGCTGGAACAGAGGGCTCCTCTGAACGGACTCGAGACGCTTGAGATCTCTGGAGGCCCGGAGGTAGAAAGCACCGACAAAGTAATAGGCAGCAGTAATGAAAACACCGGCGATAAGGAACCCGGGGGTGATAATGGTGATCAAAACGACAGTGACGAGGATTCCAAGAGCACAACCGAAAACGCCAATAGCAATCGGTGCAACTTCCTGGTCCACAGCCTCGAGGTCCTTGCTGAAACGGTTCATCAGCTGGCCGAGAGGAGTGACGTCGAAGAATTTGAACTTTGCCCGAGAAACGCGAGTAATCAAATCGTTGTGAATCTTCTTGGACGCCGTTAGGGAACCGTAGAAGACCCAAATGTCCCTGATGAAGGCAGCAACAGAGCCGGCGAGGCCAATGATGGCGAGAACGGTAAGATAGTAGGTGACGTTGACGTCCGCAACGGCGGAAGCACTAAAGTTGGAGCTGATACGGTTGCCGTAGTTGGCGATGGAGGCGAAGTAGGTCGGGCTCAAGGACTGCTGGCTGTAGCTGTGGGATGCGGTCGAGAAATCAATGTGCGCAACCTCCTCGTCAACGTATTGGTTAGCCCACTCTCGTACCCAGAAGTTGGTCGCGACACCGGACATCTGTTGAAGTCCAAAGACTGTAAGAGCAACAGCCCAGAACCACCAAGCGCCCATAGAGGAGAGGTAGAGTTGGATGACAGGCCACTTGACGGAGCCGACGGCCTTCTTCTCCTCCATGGCGTCCTTTTGCTCCTTCTTCTTGTCATTCTTCTTTGATCGGGCGTCACTGGCGCTTTCATCGCCTGGGTTGACCACAGTTTCTGACCCGTCCTCACCAACGCTGGAGGGAACACGGGACGGAATTCGGGACACCGAGGCAGAGTTGATGGCAGCTTTCTGAACATCTTCACCCAATTTGCCAGCGGCAATCAGCTCAGCAGAGGGGCCCTGGGCGGCAATTCTGCCATTCTCGAGACAGACAACATAGTGCGATGACGGGGCACAAAGCTGGAGGTTGTGAGTGACCAGGATACAGGTTCGGCCGGCCATCAAAGGACCCTTGATGGCGTTGTTGAAGATCCATTGTGCTGTGTGAGAATCAACGGCACTGAGACAGTCGTCCAAGAAGATGTGCTGGGAGTTAGAGTAAATGGCACGGGCGAGCGAAATGCGTTGCTTCTGGCCACCGGACATGGTGATACCCTTCTCGCCAACCAGAGTTTCGTCGCCGTTGTCAAGGATTTCAAGGTCACGCTCCAGAGCGCAGGCGACAATCACATCCCTGTATCTCTTCTCGTCGTACGGCGCAGCAAACAAAATGTTGTCCTTGATGTTGGCGTTTACAAGCCATGCAGCCTGCGCGACATAGGCAACTGTGTCGGCCAGACCCGTCTCAGGATCAGGTCGAACATCCTCGCGGCTACGTCCACCTGGGCAATAGACCTTACCCTCGACCAAAGTCATCTCGCCAAGCAAGGCCATGAGCATGGACGTCTTGCCAGAGCCAGTGGGTCCAGAAATGATGTTCAGCTTGCCAATGAGGAAATCAACGTCCATGTCCATGAGGCGGAAAGCCATCGATCCGTCATCTGCGACAACGTCCTTGCCACCCCAGATGAAGTTGGCCTTGCGGAGGCCAATGACCTTGTTTCCGTCCTCGTCGACATTATCCTCGCCTAGCTGTTCGTACTTCTCGGTCTCCTCCTCGGTAAGGAACTCTTCGACACGGTCCAGGGAGACCTTGGTCTCCTGAACGTGGGCAAACATGTCTCCCATTTGATCAAGAGGCACGCGAAGGAGCATGAAGAGGGAGATGGCAGTGAAGGCAACCGAGGGGTAGAGCGGCTTGTGCTCGATGAGAGTGTACATCAAGAAGGAGAAGAAGGTGATGAGAACGGGGACCGAGTTCCACACAGCAACGGCGAAGGACCAGATGACGTAACGGGACCGAAGAGCCTTCAGCTCAGCGGCACGCTTCTCGTCCACAATACGACCAAACTTGGCCTCCCACGCAAAGTACTTGATGATGCGAATGTTCTGAAGAACCTCGTTGGTCACGTTGATGCGCTTATCGGTAGCACCCAGAATCTTCTTGGACGTGTTGGCGAAGCCTCGAGCGAAGCTGTAGTTGATAGGCAGGAGCAGAGCCATCACAACCAATCCCGGAATGGCGCTGAGCCCCATGACATCCCAGAGCAGAACGATGGCTACGACAAGCTGGCTCGGGGCGGACGCGCAAATGAAGTGCAGGTAGGCCGTGACTTCGGCAATCTTGAAGCTGTCAACCGACATGAGGTTGATGATGGTGCCCAAGTTCGCTTGCTCGTCGTCCTTGGCCGGATCTTTGGCAGCGCCGTTAGCAGCAGCCTCAGCGTCGGCCTTGTCCTTCTTGAAACCGAGCTTCGCCTTGATCTTTCCAATCAAGCTCTGCTTTTCAGCAGCAGGTGCCTTCTTTCCAAGTTCCTTGTCTTTGCCGGCCGAGGCCTTGCGTCGGAGGGCCTTGGCGTAAATTTCACCAACCATGATGGCGCGAGTGCGAATGCAAATCTTGCGACCAATCCAGAGGGCATAGTTGTCGGCGAAAGACCTGACAATGTCGAGGACTGGCAAGAGAATCACGTACAACCACAAGACGTTGATGGGAGCGCCCTCGGGCCTCTCCACGTATTCGAGAATGGCCTTGAGTAGCAACGTCGGAGCAAAAGTGAAGACGCCTGCGAAAGCAGCCAGAGCGAATTGCAGCAGAAGCTCGCCCTTGAAGTACTTGAGCAAGTGCCAAGCCAAGGTCGAGGTTCTCTTCATTGCCCGGTAGTCGGCAAGAACAGCGGCAGCCTTCTCCTTGGGGACCAAGTTCCAGACGTTCTTCATTTCCAATGTTTCCTTGTAGCCGCGGGAGATGATGGGGTCCACCCAAGAGAACGTGGCCAGGGAAAAGAGAGAGGCGAGTGGCTCGCGCGAGGGCTCAATGTCGCCTTCCCATTCCAACAGCACCGTCTTGTTGCCTTTGCGTGTCGTAATCGCCAGGCCGAAGAGAAGCGAAGTCAAGACAAACTCGACAATAACGAGCGTTTGCGCAAGACGGCTGCTCGGGTGAATAATGACGGAGCGGAAGATGCCGACGGTGAACAACCACTGGAACAGGTAAATGGCGGCGGTGTGGTTCCAGATGCGAGGAACGCGCCATTTCGTGTTGCCGAGGAAGAGTCGGAGAGTGGCGAGAATGGCGACGTAAACCCAGGTGACCAAACCGACGATGGTGACCAAGAGGCCATGCTGGCCCGGGACAGTTCCAGTGACCAATGCAATAATGTGTATCGCGATCAGACCAGCGATTCCAAGCTCCTCGACGACAATGGTCAAGTTCTGGGCCGGGGGGCTGTCGGCCTGGACAATGGATCCCTTGGTGGTAGTCTTGACCAGAGCAAGGCGACCGCCGCCGTTCATAGTCAGCGCCTCGTCATCTTCATCCTCGGTCTCCTCGGGAGGAATGTCGGTGTGGCCGTGGTGGTGCTCTTCCGGGACTTGTTGGTAGCCTTGCTTGCGGTTCTTCGCGACACTTCGGATCGCCTGCAGGCTGAGGTGAAGGACAGACAAGCCTATGACAATTAAAGGAAACAGGATTTTGAGGTAGCTATGAGAGACGGGTAGTCAGTTAACGGGACAAGAGCGGTGGGCAACCGGTTCGGCTAAACTATCGAATTGCAGTTCAAGGCGGTCGGCATTGGCGGGTTGAGGGCATCGCGATTTGTTGCGCCGTGATGCGACCTGGTGAGGAGGCGGGCTTGGGGACAAAAAGACTCACTCTTGCTGGAAGCACGGTGTGAAATCATCAATGTCCCATATCGGCCAGCTGCACTGAGCAAAGCTGCCCATGTTTGCTAGTACCCCACTCCCGAGGGGCGGGGAGAAACGCCAAAAAGAAAGCGATCAATGGCTGAGCTCTGATGGCGATTGGAGTTGGAGTTTGGAGTCGTTTGGGGTAGTACGGGATGGGATTTTTCTGTCAACGGCGTCTCGGTTCGGTTCGCAGCGGTCCAAAGAGAACGCAGGTGCTGTGGGAGCCGACCTCGGACCTGGGCGAGGCGAGGAGAGAGAAATAGCAGCAGTAGCCAAAATGACGTTGGCCCAGGGCGTGGCTATCGATCGCGCTGCTGTACTTTGTTGTTGTTTTCCCTCTGGCCGATAGAGAGGGGGAGTAAGGGAGTCAGTCGGCAGGGCGTCTGTGTCCCGAGATCGCAGGCAGGATCTGTAGATGCCCGAGTTGTGACGCGGGAAGGAGGGGAGGGGAGGGGGAGGGAAAAACAAAAAAAGAAGGAAGAGAGGAAAAGAAAAGAGATGGAGGGAGAATAGCCCAAGTTGTTGCAGAATCGAGAGTTTTTGGGTGGTGGGGAGGTCAAGGGAAAGAAAAGCTAAGGTAAGTTCCTGAACTGGCTGTCAGTGGTTCTGGCTCTGGCTCTGGCTCTGGCTCTTTCTCTGGCTTCGGCCCCCGGGCTCTCAGTCTGTCACGTCAGTCCTTGGATTGCATCCCTCGGGCTGTTCTTTTCCTTGGTGCGCCTCTCTCTCTCTCTCTGGGTCAGACACTCAAGACCAGTCAGTCTGTTTGTCTGGCACTTCCAATGATTAGCACAGGGCAACGACGACGAGTGTATGGCTGACGACGGCGACAATGAATGGATGGAACTTTGGAAGGCCTGTCCTGTATCATGGAAGCATGTCGAGTTCCTGCCCGGTAGACAAGAACAAGTTGGGATATCCACAGTGACACTCACACTGGTCCGAGTTTGGATCCGTTTGGCTAGAAAGGTAGGTACAGGTATCCGCACAGCACAGGGAAGACGAGGCCGGAGCAGCAACGAGACAGTCCGCGGCTAGCAACAATGGGTTAGCAGCTGGAGCGGGACCCAGCAAAGGTACCTTGGCTCTGGATCCGAGAAAGCGAGGGAAGGGGAAGCCCTGAAGGGGGAGAAAAAGGTGTGGAGGGGGCGAGCGTGCGAGCGTCAGCGTCTGGCTTGTCTGCTCGGCACTGCGTAATAACAGTCGAGTCTGGATGATGTGTACTTTGTATGTTCACTGTGGTTGTCGGGCCTGGGACTGGGAGTGTACGTGAAGACGAAGGTTCTCAACGATACTTCGTACAGGGCTTGTCCTCGTCCCTCTCGTCCCTCGCCCTTGGTCGTCCCGCCTTGTTGTCGTGACTCGTCCCTCGTTGTCACGGTGGTCTGTTCTTGCGTATGGAGCACCTTGTAAGCCTTGCCTTGGTCATCATCGGAGACTCAGAGAGTACTAGGCAAGGCACGGATAATAGCGTCTACTACGTATGTTCAACATGACGCCGCAGGCTGCCGATGGCTCGTTCGGAGGAATGAAGCCAACGAGACAAGCAACAAGACGCAATGAATGCAGAGTATCCGTACAACAAAATGAAGGCATGCAGATGGCACTCCGTACTCCCGCTCCGTACCCCGAGGTGCAGCGCAGTGCAGGTCGAACCAGGGTGTGCAGGGTCATGCCTCCCCGCCCACATGCACGACGATAGCAGCATTGAGCCTTCGACCAGTGGGAAGCTCCAATTCCTGGCAAGCATGTGCTGCCCTGCTGCTTTGTGCGGGATGCATATCCATAATCCAGAATGGTTGCTGTCCCATGTCTCGCCTTGCATCGCTCGATTGTTTGAACTCTGGAGTCCCTCTTCCCCCCCACCGCCCATCGCCTGTGCAGTCAGGCAGTCAGACCCGGGCGGGGCGGGGTCGTAGTCAATGTTATCTGTTCACTGTTAGTGTCCAGTTACTGTTCAGTACGGATACGCCGTAAGAAAGAAAGGGAAGAGCCCACCATGCCGATAACGTGCGGGCTTGTCGGCAAGCTTCATATTTGGGTGAAATGAGTCTCTGGAAAGGCTGGGTACACTGACTCTCTTTTCGATTCCACGAAGATGATGTATTTAGTAAGTGATCTAAGTACGAAATACATTACCTATGGTACATTAGGTAGGCAACCTGTCTCCTTCCTTCTTTCTTTTTCTTTTCTTCCACGGATACTTCTTTCCCTGTTGTCCCCTTCCCATTCTCCCACCGGGCCCAGAGCGCGCCTTCCAGGTCCCAGGTCCCAGTTTGCGTGGTTGGAGACATGGAAAAGCGCTGGCCCCACCATGACTCGGTACGTACCGGAGCTTGAGCTCTGGAATTCAACCCGAAGATTAAGAAATTTCATTGGCAAGCCATCAACCGGTACGTACTTGTCTAGTGCCTCTGGAGCTTGTCAGAAACGGCAAGGGTGAATTAACAATAGGAAAGACCGTTGCATGTAACAGAGCACAGAGGACACAGCCCAAGGAAAGGACCTAAGGGAAGGAAGCCATCGTGACTCTCGCATCGTCCTCTTTCCCTTCCATGTAATGACGATATCGTTCTCTCTTTAACACCTAGTTAAGGTACGGCGTCCCTATCTCCATCCTCATCTATTCATCCATTTGTCCAACATCCATACTGCAATCACCAGCCATGCACCCCTGAGCCATGGGCGTTGCTCCCGGCAGCCCGACGCCCTCGCAGGCAGATGCTTGCCTCCCACCGTCGGCCTGGTAGCCTTTCCACGCTCCTCTGCTCCACCACGTCGTGTTTATTGTTGCAGGAAACGGCGGCATAGGCAACGCCGTATCAGCAGCAGCGGAACTCCCTGATTACTGCAGCATATCTGGCCAGACAAAGCAGAAAACGAAGAAGCACATTTGCGGCTATTCGACTTGCGACTTGCCTGTGACAGCTCCAGCTTGCAACCACCGATGAGATCGGCATCATGTCTCAAGCCAAGCCAGAGCTCCAGACTTTCGGCCCAAGTGGTGGGCACCGATGGAGTGTCTTACATCACCTTGACCTACCTACAAAGTACCGCCAATTCCACACTGGCATCTCGGTATCCGCCAGCATCAAGTCCCGGCGTTGGCATGGTCATCTGCGCTCACGCCTCTCATCTGTACTATGTGAGACTATGTCATGCTCAACCGTCTGTCCGTCTATGTCCTACCGCCAAAACTTGAGAAAAAGGTTGCTTGCAACCCAGGTTGACGGGCATATACAATGCCTTTGACCGGGAACATCCCACCTCTATCCAGCTGCTCTGCCAAGGGCAGCCTGTAAAGACTGAGAATAGCCGCCACGAGGCTCAAACTTTCCAACCTCTCCCGGCCCAGGCCCAGGAACATGCGATGCGCCGTCTCCGCTGCCGCTCCCGCCGCCAACGTCAGAAGCCAACTTGGCCTGCAACCACTACGAATACATTGTGCAGCTATTTGCCCGACACTCAGTGCTCCCGATACTATCTGCTGACCGCATTGGAAGAATGCCTCCGGATGCGAGCTGCGACGGCATAGGGCATTGGAAGCGTCCTGTCATGCCTCGCAAATTTCCAAGCTGGTGGAGCATCAAATAGCACGAGAAGAACTGCATTGACTCCAAAGAACGATGGGCGCGCATTCCCCATGGCGAAACCGAAGCCTCATGACCTGCCAGTAGACTCCAATCACGTCAATCGATCTGCTTATCCGTTCATCACGCGGCTGCTCTCTGCAACGCACCCCAAAACCCCTCAATTGTTTGTCTTTGAGGACCAAAGTAGCCCGGGCGAATCACGCAACATCGCTTGGACTCAGCATATCTGGACTCGACCCTCTAGAATCGGAATGGAGTAATCGAGCCCCCATGAGCCCGCATCTCCAGGCACCACCATCACTGCCAAATGCTCGACCTTCCCGTTGAGGCAAGATAATGCTAGGGAACCCGATCCTTTGCTACAATCCTCGTCCCAAATTCGTCTGTATCGTAGCCCCTAGGCCCATAGTCCATCTCAAACGAACGGCACTCGGCCGCCACAAAGAAATTACATATCAACGGCTTCTGACTCACCTTCACCGCCATTCGAGACCGCCCACTACAAACACTATTCTGTCAACTGGACCCTGTCACCTTCCACCACCACCAACTCGACACGGCTACAACTTGGACAAGAAGCTACCACCCGATGGCTGCAGCCCTCTGGAGGGAAACGCCAATGGGTACTGTTTCTTGGTCTCATCCTGTGCATACATGCAGCCGGCTGAAGCACACAATGGCATGGTTGCGGGGGTTGAAGGCGCTACAAATCAACCATCACCGTCCCGGTAGCTTATGATTGGCCCAACCATTGTTCGATAAGAGGCGGGCCTCGCGTGTTCAACGGCTTGCAGCACGCAAGCCTGCAATGATGGCTTCGGCGTTGCGGCGGCTCCGAGCTGTGCACCCACTTCCTCAACTCCGACCTGTCCTACTCCTGGCCCGGGGAACCGTTCCCTCTCTCAAGCCCAGGGTCGTCGACGAAGCCCTGTCACTTCTCTCCTCTTTTGACGTTACAGCGCAGATGCGGTCAGGAAGACGAACTACTGTCCGGGGAACTCTAAAGTACATCATATCATCCTGGATATCGACTACCAGCTAAGGTAGCTCCGGTCTACCTACCTATGGCACACCCATTGCTAGACTTCATCCACTCGGATTGCTTGCCCTCGCAGTCTTCCTATCACTTTCACAGGTCAAGAGCCGCTCTCTTTGCAAGACTGTGATGCCTCCTTGTTGACCGACAGAAAATCAGTCATTTTTGTATCTGTACATCGCACATCTTGGCGGCTTTTGTCCGTGCCCACCTGGGCGATCGGCCTCTTTTTACTCGACCAGATCCTGGCCACAGGATCACATTATCAATCAGATAATCTTTCTGTCAGGGGATCGCTCCTCCAATATATGTCCCCATCGTCTCCTGATGCCAAGAAGCGTTGTGTAAGGCAACACGTGTGCCTTCCATCCCAAACTCTTCACTTCCGTTTTCTCGGGTCTCGCCTTCAA